GTCCCACCGGTACTTCTGCATCACTAGTTTTACTACATTGAATACGTTCTTGTTCAACGGTCTCTAGTGCCCTTTCCACTCTGAATGTATCATACGTGTCTTTGGGTGTGATGAGTTATGAAAAGAAATTGGACTCATAATGCTGTCTGGCGTGATTACGCATGCGGCTGTGTTCTTTCGTAAGTGTATAGTCAACTCTGTTTTTCTTAATTCCCCTTTGGGGCAGCGGAGCAATATAGTCTTGGGTTGTGCCTATATATTCATAAAATAGATCGCGGAGTTCTTTGGCTGAACTGTCGGTAAAATAGGGGCTCCAATCTAGGTAACACAGAAACGATTGTAGTTCTTCCCATTTAGCATACTTGTAATTTCTAATTAGAACTGTTCCTGCCCTTTGAGCTAATTTCGTTCTGGATATGTCGAAGTATCCATATACAACCTTGTAATCACTACCTGGAAATTGTGTGCCCACTTGGAGTTTTGTGGGTGTGGTTCCGCTTGTGAAGACTAGATCCGGGACACTGTTGTACCTGGTAGGGTGTCCTATATGTTGTTGCCAACCCTCTGTTTCAAGAATGCTTATGAATTTATCAAAGCGCTTTGGATAGCTGGCTGGTTGCCACGTTACATCTGGCATGTTAAAGTCACCACATATAATTTTCGCTGTGTGTAGTAGCGGACACGCCTGTTAGCTTCTCGTCGTATTCGACTGACGAGTAAGGGGATCGGTAAACGCATCCTATTGGGAGAGATGTGAAGTAAGTTTGGCGATAACTCATAGTGAGTCGTCTATCTCGTTTAGCTCAGAGGTCGAGCACAGCGTATCACTGGCGTCAGACTTTGCGTAGATAATGCACCTCCACCTCTACCACGTAGTCCGTACCTCCTGAACAAGGAATAGTTGCATATGGATATCTCTGTGTCACAAATATCAGAGGTACACCTTGCTTCTGTAACCATTATCACAGTTGGATCACAAATCATCTTTCATTTTGTTGCGTACAGAAAGGGTGTGAATCAGGCAAAACGAGAGCAAGTTAAGAGTACAAAAGTGTTTCGACATTTCTCGGAAAAGTGAGCACTTGTGTACATGCTTTGTGGGTCCTTTGCGTACATCGTGCTAGCGATTTCCTGACCTTAATTTAAGGGCGATGATTAGGTGCTGTTTACCTCGGAAGGGGCGAGGCATTCACCACACTGTGACTGGTATAGAGAATATTGGCCAAGGTAGGCAGCAGATGATCTGGCAGCATCCAGATCACTTGCATCGCTGGTGGCGTTACAGCTGCAGGCTGTCCGAAAAAGTCCCGTTCATAAGAAGTAACGAGGACTGTTAGGTTGTGTGGCATGCCCATCTGCTGACTGCCGTATGCATTATGGCCAAAGCTAACCTCGTATTCATTGGGTTTTTCCTTTGGGGATCTATCGCGAGCTTGTCCTTGCGTGGCAATGACCCACGTTTTGTCACACATGGGTGAGGCGGAGACCATAGCCTGTGCCTACCATTCGGCTCACTATCCAATGACTGTGACCGTCTAGGGTCTGGCCGTTGTGCGGCTCTGTTGGTGATCGCGGAAATGTAAAGGAATGCGGATCGCCTGGGCAGTGGTTATTTGGCGTGGTCATAGGACGAGCTGAGAAATAATGTCCGGCATTTTTCCTAGTGTGGCTCTGCGAGGGTACCGTGGTCTTTCTGTTGTTCGTATAGCTTTTTCGTCCATTGGCTTGGCCACCCAATGGACTTCTTGGCAATTTGATTAACCTGGGCGGGTCCATGGTGGGGTCTGTGTAAGAGTGTCTAATGCTATTTGTACTCTGTCATCTACCCAGTTGATGCATATAGGTCATGCACTGAGTGATGTGGGAATAGACCAGACTGTTTACGCGCTCGACTTCGGGACGGTCCTATGGTGACAGGGTCCTTGTGGCCGAAACGGGGTATGTTTGTAGGCTGAGTAATCCCTGGAGACGACAGAGCAATGCCTCCGGCATTTGGTTGGATCGATAGCGTAGCACTTGGTTCGGTGATTTGTGTGACGGGGACGGGCTTTCCACTTCTGTTGTCAGTGAGATCGCTTCTGAGTGATCGTGTGCCTTTTTTCGAGTGTAGTTTGTTGATTTGCCCAAGCCTACGGTCGTGTCACAGGCCCTGCCACGTCTGCGTGTCAGCGGGCTATTTTTGGAGCTTTGGTATACCTCATTCCGTTGTTTTGGTACAGTAACCAGTTCACCAGCGGATTGTGTTCCTATTGTGGGTACCACAGCCTGACTAGGATTTGCAGCTTTCGGTATTTTTGTGAGATTACGTCTTTGACGAGGTGTTAAGCCTCGTGGAAGTTTGACACTTTTATGTGGTGTAGATACACTAATAGGTTGATCAGATGATATGAAGTGTCTGGCGTGGTAGGAGCTAATGAATTTGAACAACAGGGGCAGTTATATTTCTCTGGCTTCTTGTGGGGATGGATAACTTGGCATTCCGCAGGAGACATGTTGCAAGCCAGCAAACATAAGACCTTTGACTGTTTGATCGGTTCGTGGCCGGGTATACTGTATAATAGTACATTATGTATGAGAGCCCTCAGAAGTGAGGGTAACGTGCCTCGGTAAAGATATCAAGAAAGGCTTCAGAAGGACCGGCGATAGGTCTTACCACCCCTCTTTAGGAAAACAGATGGGATTCCGTCAGGCCTAGCAGTGTGTGATTTCCTTAGTGAAGTAACTGCAACAACTGTCTGATGCTGCGTAAATGCAAACATTACATAGAGAATGGTCTGGTGGAGCAGGTATTTGTATGCCTTGGAAAGTGGTTACTGAACAACTCACAGATCTTACTTCAGTCATCGTATGGAATGTCGCCATTGGTGATCAGATTGCTGGGAAGCACTCTAGATATGTTGGCAGAAGAGTCTAGGATTCTCACTCAAGATTGAGCGTCACCTGTTTGTTCGTCCGGCTACTCTCTTGTTTGATTGCTTTCAGTCACCTGTTTGATTTGAAATTTTCATGTGAAATTTTTATTGAGACAGGGGATGAAAAGCCGTCATGATCGATAGAAATGTCTGGTACGTCTGCGCAAGCTGACACATGCATTTCCCGGGATGAAATTCACTTTTGAATTTCCACTTGCCGATGATACTCCCGTGGCATTCCTATACGGAACCATAGAACATATCACATAGTTCATGGGTCGGGCTACTAATGAAATGAAAACCTCAGTCCAATCATGGCAACGAGTACTACATCTCTTCCTATGTAGCGTTCGAATAACATCTAGTTGCGGTTGTTCTTGATCCGGGAGCTGACGTAGTACTAGGAGACAGTCGGGAGTAACCAAACACTAATCTGCGATCGCTTCCCGGGAGTTCTGGACGACTTGAAGGGTAAAGGGTAATAATCTATTAGTGAAAATTAGGTCAGGTATACTGTGGCGTCTGGCTAGCTGCGCTACACTTTGGCGCCATTCTTTAGAATCTAACACACTAATAAATTCATTAGACCACCCAGGGAAGTAAGTGGCTCCCACTCGATGTAAGGCACATAAACGTCTCCGCAGGGTTGATGCTGCCTACGCAAATACTTCATTCAGCCCGTCACCGTAACCCGCAGTTGAGCGAAGGGGGATGATAGATACACCCTAAAAAGAGGGTTATGGCGCTTGGAAGTTCCGTCTCAACCCACACTGAGTCCCTTGGCGAATTAAGTTCTGAAGTACAGCAGTACGTGGCAGCACTGTCGGATCTAATGCAAATTATACTAACACCGCCTCCATCCGTCCCCTCTTAGCAAGGCATAATTGGCGAGAGACATTATTGCCACTCCCACTTATCCAGAGGACACCACTAGGGCTCACACCCCATGGCTTTTTCTGAAGCTTTGTATGACCTGTAAACGACCTCACTCAGGGGTTCACAATGCCATCGTCCCATTACGCCTGAAAAGATATGCGAACCTCCCGGGGAATGTTCGAAGGTGAACCAATGAATGTATTGTAGGGATGCAACAATCAGTATGCGACGACAGACTGGAGGATCTAGGCCCTGAAGGCCTTGGTAACCGTAGGTTTCTCACTGACTTGATAACGGCCTACATGAAGCTAAATAATGCATGTCACCCGAACAGTGGAAGTCTAGAGAACGCTCACTATGGCAACCCTCTTGGAAACCCCAAAAAAATCCATCAAGTGCGTATTCATAAGTTTTCTTTTCCGGCCTGGGGATGCTGGAAGACAGTGACTGCTGAGGTAGGTAACATCCAATCTGCTGATAGCTTCAAAAAGTATCTAGACAATAACTTTATGACACAGCTCCAGCTCGTCTAGTTAATATATGGGCTAGACCAAAGAAGCCAACTGATTTCTCATCACTCCAGCACATTTACTACCATACCGATAGCTTCCCATCAGTACTATTGCCATGAACTAGCCTCGATCTTGTGCTTCCCCATAAAAAGTCTTAAATCTCAAGTTCCCATAAGGCTACTGACATCACAATTTCCTTTTCATTGCCTATAGTTTAATTCTGTCCGGTTCCCTCTGTCACTCTGACACTCCAACATCTCATCCCACTAGTTAACGTTCTCTATATCTCTGTTTTCTTCCCTGTCTTGTTTGAGTCTAGCATTGTTCCTCCTTTCTTTTCATTCCCTTTGTCTTTCTCATTTCCTCTGCTTCGTCCTTCCAAGCTGCCCTATAATTCTTATAACCTGATTTTCACGATCGGTCTGAACAACTGTCTGGAGACGGCATTCCAGCAAACCATCTTGACCATAGTGCCTGAATTAACCATATACTTGCATCCAAATTTAAACAGCACCTAACCACTCATTTGGTTAGCAAGACCTCAGGTAGACGAGTGTCTTGATTGACTGCCTCTGAATCCACCGAAGACCTGAGACCCAATCACAGGACCTAGAAGCGAGCATGTAGTAGTCAAATGGTTTGTCCAAGCTCTCGAAATAGACATTGGATACTGGACAGTAAAGTTGGTTGGTTTCAAAATATGGATTTATTTTCGTGCTATTATCACATCTTGAGATATTTAGAACGTGACTCACTCCTCGAACACATTAGACATCAACTAATCAGAAGTTTCTGCACTAAGGTATCTTGGTTGCTTCAATGAGTACCTACTTCTTACAGAGACGTCCTGTTTGCAGTGTGAATTTACAACTTATCCTTCACGAGTTGGTTCAAGAGCTAGGTAAATATTGTTACATATTTAAGGTGAACAGTTGATATCAGGAAGTTTCTCACTCGTATTACTTAGAAAAGTTTCTAAGTTTGAGAGAATGCTTCAAGAGGTAAGTAAAAGTCAAAACTGTAATGAAGAAATAAATCCGTGCATACATTGATTTATTTTTTTAAGCAGCTAAGTATTGCAACATATGATTAAGGCTGTGCTAATTTGTTTAGAAAATAAATATAAGACAGTGAGACTTCTGTTTTGCTCCATTGTTTATATTTAGTCTTGCTGCATAAAAAAACTGTAATTTAATAGCTTGCTATTAAGACTTACGACATGTTTCACTGAAAGTATTTTGCCCAGGCAGCCAGTTAGTGCTTCATAAAGGTGTCTGATGCACTTAGTCTGCCGATACTGACAGACTGAAGACCCGAAATTTGGTATGCACGCCCAAAGTAAGGGCTGGTTAGGATTGTAGCGTCATACACTTCCCCAAAATCAATAGCCTAGGGTTTGACGACTTCGACATTGATGCTGACCTTGATAGTTTAACTGGACTCGCTAAGCTGAAGGCATCCGGTCAAGCATCCTCGCCATTTGGCACGCTGTCGTGTTATGTTGCATTGCTCGTATTCGACTCTCTAGCCAGTTAGTTGGAACGCATCGGTATTTTGGCATAACCACCCAAATATACTATTCCATCCGACTACGCTATCGTGTTCTTCCTTGGTCTCGTATTCGTGGGTATATAACAAGTTCGAATAATTAGTGATTGGTCTTTGCGTCTGTCAAGTTCGCACCAGGACAAATCCTAAATTGGTGAGCCCGACGTGATCACATATCCCGACGTGATAATTTACTGGCAGGTCTTTCCCACCCTCCTACTAAAGAGCTATCAGTAAGGCCTAATCTCTTTTTATCCTACCACAGGAAAAGATGTGAAGTGGCTTAAGGCTTTCGCATATTGAATAATATGCTAGATGTCTAGTTATCAAACTTATTTGCGCCCCGTAGAATGTACCTTCCTTAATAGATACCAAAAAGGGGTTAGAAAGCCATAGCCAAATCAGATTTGAAGGAAGTATTGGCCCTCCCACGGGGTGATCAACGACTAAAGATCTTTACAGGAACAAGTGGCTAAAGCTTCTTTGGTGACCGTATCAGAAATATTGGATCTTCATAAACATAATCATTCTAATGAATATGTGGCAGGGTAGTAGCCTGTTATCTTTCTCAATGGAGAGAGTCTGTAAAACTGGCTAATGTACTGCATCAGCATAAAGCTCGATCAGGTTTCCTTCACTCGCTAAGAAGCACTCTGTTTATGTTTCGCTAATTGATTTTTTGTGCGATTTTCGACGCGTAGATCTCCTAATTTAAGTAATACTCAAGCATAACGTCATTTAGGAAATTTTTAAGTATGAAAACAGGCAAACCAAAAGCTATTGCAGTATGCGGTTTACTGGAGTGGGCATAAATATCATATCTGAGAAGGTAGAATAAGACCGTGGCACAGTTAGTTACTCATTCCAACCAATATATACCTAGTTTTTTATTTCACACTCATTTTTTCCTTAGCGATTGCCGATATTTCTCGGTGCTAAATTTAGAGTCAGGAACTTCGTTTTTGGATGGCACCTAAATTTTGCAGTTATAATTTAAGTGATCAATTAATGCGTGAGCAGGAACTAAATTTTATAAGCTGGTGAATGTGTATCTAATTTCATTTGCCTTTTTATTGATGTATCACAATTTTGTGAAACAAGTGATTATATAGTAATAGAGAAAGTAATTTTTTCTCGTTATTTCCTCATCGAATGGATTCATTTATTGAACTTTTTCCCCGTCTAGATAGTATTTTGTCTTGCAATTGAAGTTGACGTACTCTGTGATGTTGATGACATAAACTCGATTTTGATAAAAATAAACTTCAGCGACATTTTATGCATTCCAGAGTAAGTTGTTTTCTGCATTATTATCTAAGGAAAGACTTATATATAATAACTGCAGGTTTATGTATGACCATCTGACTTTCTTAGAAGGTGTTGTAATAGGAATAACACCTGTCCGTGTGTCTACAGAATCAGTTCTTTACACATGTCCCGACAATTTATGCCCAGGAAAATCTACATTTCTTGTCAAAAATAGAAGTTATTCCTCCAGTTTTCTAAAGAGGTAAGAAAAACAAAGGCTTGTTAAAATCAGATTCCGCTGTAAATTCTGCAATATGGAGGTGACAGAGGAAGTTGAGAAGAGATTATTGTCAGGTGAGTTGGAAGTTCACATTTTCTGGTCAGTCTAAGGACTATGTTTTCATTTCAAGGGAAAAACTGGTTTTTGAAATTTTCGTTAAAGTGTTTTGTACTTTTTGCCACAATACTCTAATAATAGATAAATCACACATTTTGTAGAACTTTTACCGAAACACATATGACTCATCTTTCATTCAGAAATATGAATTGTATGGATGTTTGATGTTTATTTATTCTTCTATTCAAATAAATACGTTCAGTCAGTCTTTCACGTAAATTTGAGACATAGAATTGCTGCTTAATGATAGATTTTGAAACACCTTATATCAAAGCACGAAAGTAAAAGGTATCAACATTAAAGATCAATAGATAAGGGAGAAACTAGCTATAATTTGAATTAAGTTGTAAAAAAGAACAAATAGAAAATTACATGTAAATGAAATCTAATTCAATGATCGGTTTTTTGCACCAATAAGGTCTGTTTGGAGACATATTACTTATAGTATCTAACCACTATACAAGTTTGTCAAATGCTGTTTTGAAGATTATCGTATGCTATCACATAACATGTCGATAACCGGTGGTATCTGGTGATGTATATCTCCAGTGCTTCTACTTATTTAGCGGACATTTCGATATAAGAGAATGTCGACATCTTATATCTTAGCGATGATCCTTCTAGTCAAGATTTCGCAAGGGGGAAAGTTCTACTGGAATAATATAAAGAGAAAAAATTTACTAAATGCTTTTGTCGATAGCATTGGGACATATTTCACACATTTTCCTATAACTAATGTAATGCGACTGCTAATCACTTTTCATAATCAGTGTCAATTTTGGGGACAGTTACCGTTGCGGCTCGATTTGTTGATCAATCCACAAAACTGAGGATTTCGACCTTTTCCGATGAACTGGTTGTTGACGTAATCCACGAAAGGAAAAGAAAATTGGATTTGATGCCCGGTTACTTATGAATGAAGTAAGATGCCTGGTTGCCTACTGATTGCAACTTAAATCATTACCATAATACTTTGCGATCAAGCTATAAGCACTGGGGATGGAAAGAATGAAGAGTACGAGTGTTCTGTCATAAATATTTTGAGAGTATGTCTTTCATGATACATAACCGAAAAAAGTGTAGCTCACGAGTAAGATGGAACAATATAAGCAGCAAATGCAATCATTCTGTGAAACTGTAAACTTCTGTGAACTTGGGTACATTTTGTGTTATACCTCACAATCCGTTCCCAGATTTGATATTCGATGATGATCAGATTACGCTTAAATTGGAAACATTCTGAATGCACTCAGACCAAGACATAATGCTAGTCGATAAATCAGTGGCTGTTTTCCTTGCCTGTATAAAATGTTTTAAGGTGAGCTACTACAATGGTCATTTAATAAATACAAGCCTCATACCTTTTGCAATCTCTGACATAAAACCTAACAAAAACGGAAGCGATACATACATATACCGATCTCCAGTAACACAGTCACGAAGACGATAACCCTGTGAATGATAATTTATAAAAGTGAAATTTGGGCAGTGAATCTGGCAAGTTTGAACATACTGTTGCGTTTTTGGTTAAGTTTGTCAGAATGGGGAAGGTTTCTTCAGTTTTCTGCAGTAAACGTTAGCTTTTGTCATTTGACGAGACCGTTTCTTAGAAGTCTGTTGATGAGAACAACTGAATATATTATACTCTAGAAAATGGGTAACATCAAGGAAGTGTATGTAAAAATTCATCCAAATTTGGGCAGGAAAATTTTGTAAACACCCCTTTAGGACGATGTAAAATCTCGTAACACAAACAGAATGAGAAACTGAAACTTTCTCAGTCGGTCTCAGTTCACTTGAAAGTTCAGATTCACTTCAACTATGAATAATAAACACTAATATTTTTTGGTTTAATATCACTAACTTTGGAAACGTTTTTTCATAAATATGACATGTTCAGTTCAAATAAGAGCCTTTTTAAGTTTACGTTCTTAATGAGTTCAGGTTTTCTGAATTAAACATACCGGTCAGTACTCAATCTAGACCACACATTATAAATGCAAAACCGCTTTCCAGGTTCGAAGCACGGTGACAATACCCATCGTTGCCAACATTTATATCCGTTTTCATATTATAAACAGCTGCGGAGTACAGCTTAGTTATTAATTTAACTAATTGGACCTCAGTTGAACGGATAGAATATTGGTTGTTATTCTGCACCACAAAATGACCTATGCTTTTGTAAGTGAATTGGAAAGATACCATCGTTCGATTTTTAATACTTTTCCAACGATTAGTATTTATATTCAACTTGTGTTATAGAAAGCTTCTCAACAGAAAAAAAATGTGATAGATTATATAAACCTGAAACGAGACTTACTAAATATGGTATCAGTAACCTTTTAATTCCTAGAAACGGTGGAGTTTCTCTTACTTCCAAACCAAGAAGAGAATCCGAGAACTGTTACTAGCCATTTCAAACCAAACAGAAGCATCAAATGTGTCGTTTTTGGTAAGTACTTTCACCATTTCAAAAATAAATACTTAAGTCAGCAACCGAAAATTTATTTGAGTCCTTTTGTTTTACGTTTAAAAATACGTAGAAAATTTAAAGTTAAAATAAGGAAAGTAACACCCTGGCCAAAATATTAGGCCACATCACCCTGGAGAGACTAAAAGATGTGCTACATTCAAAATACGACAGGAACAGGCTGGATGGATTCAGGAAGAACAAATCATGTGCGCATCAAACCGCAACTCAACGCTACACTACGCATCATCATAGAAGAGAGCATAGAATGGCAGTCAACAGGATCTTTAACTCAACTTCATCGACTTTGAAAATGCCCTCGACAGCGAACCAATTTGGAAGCTGCTGCTTCAACACTACGGTTTTAGTGCCATAAACCTTCATCAACTTCATTCAACAGCAGCTATATGCTACGCTATATGATGAGGCTACATGCCGAGAGATTCACACTGTAATGGGAAGCTCAGTGATGCTTTTGAAGTGAAGACAGACGACAAGAGTAAGATAAGGCTGCCTACTATCACCGATCATCTTCCTGATTGTGGTCTACTGGATCATGCAGCAAACCATGAGGAGCAAGAAGATGGGCATATGCTGGCCGGACCGATGAAGAGACCCCAAAAGAAGATTTGGATTTCACCGATGATGACTTATGTCTAATGTCTTTTCGCACAAACTCGAAGATCTACAGGCAGAAGCCAACAAGTTGACAGAAGAGGCAGCGAAGACGGGACTTCCTTCAGATGAACATGGAGGAGACAGAGGTGATGAAGATACCCAACCACCACCAACAACAGCAACAACAAGCACCGATCACCATCAACGGGAGAAACCTGAAGGAAGGAAGTAGTCACTTTCACCTACCTTCCTAGGCAGCATCGTCTCAACTACAGGCGACTGCACAGATGAGGACGTCGAAGCAGCCAGGATCGAAAAGACTGCAAGACAGGCCTTCCTGCATTAATCTGAAATCAGTGTGGAGATCTACTGCACTCAGCATAGAGCGTGGACAACATCCTGATTTTCAATACTAGTGTCAAGTAAGTCAGTGCTTCTATGTGATGGTTCAGCAACTTGGTGCGTTGCCGAAAGCATTTCCAGCAAACTGCAGACGTTCATCAACAGCTGCTGCCTACGCCCACTCGATACTGAAGATCAGATCAGATGGCCAGAATAATAAGAATAAGCACCAAGCAACTCTGGCTGGCTGACGACGAACCAACGAGGCAAGAACCCATCGCCCAACAAATATGCAGAATAAAGTGGAGGTGGATTGGATGGGAGTTTAGGATTTGTCCTGGTGCGAACTTGACAGACGCAAAGACCAATCACTAATTATTCGGACTTGCTATATACCAACGAATACGAGATCAAGGAACAACACGATAGCGTAGTCGGATGGAATAGTATATTTGGATGGTTGTGCCAAGATACCGATGCGTTCCAACTAACTGGCTAGACAGTCGAATACGAGCAGTGCAACGTCACACGACAGCGTGTCACATGGCGAGAATGCTTGACCGGGTGCCTTCAGCTCAGCGAGTCCGGTTAAACTATCGAGGTCAGCATCAATGTCGAAAGTCGTCAAACCCTGGGCTATTGATTTTGGGTAAGTTTATGACGCTACAGATCACTCCCCCTCTAGTGGATTCTTGAGGACCCTAAGACGATACCAGCCGGAATTAAAAACCCAGTGGTTTCTCCGCTGGTAAAACTCTTCCAATGGGCTCACTGCTTGAAGTGGCTCCTGGTTGTCTGAACTTATTCTAGGGTGTCGTGGCAATTAAAAAATGAAATACAATAAATCAAATTGTACGTCGATTGCAGTCCTCAGTTTCCTTTGACGTTCCGTCCAGTGCTCATTGCACCTGGAATATAAATAAAAGTCTTTAATGCCATGAAAACGCTTCGTAAAAATGGGAATTATGTATATACAAATATATCGAAAATAAAGTTTACGCTTATTTTCACCGTTCTTTTCTTTTTAAAAAGAGTTTCATTACATGGTGATAAAAAAGATTGACATAAAAAAAGGAAAAATGTACAAGGATTTGCGCATTGCCGGTAAATAAGAAAAATGGTGCCCCGAGAAAAAAAATTTGAATGAGTTTTAAAAAAAATCATGGTTAGCACCTTATTTCACACCCCTAAGTTGACTATGACTTCAAATACTCCGGGAACCTAACGGTTCGACCCGATCGTGTTTTCTGTTGCACTGGTAGCTGTTGTAACTGTGCATTACCAGGCACATCGTCAAGAATTTCGATAATTGAGCTATCCGTCGGTCGGCTATAGCCAGCTGAAATGTCACTTATAATGGGGTTGCCTTCGAAATAAGCTGGTTTCAAGTGGTCGATACTGACGGCATCTTCATGTCCATCTCGCTCAATTATGTAGGATTTCTCGTGTAGCTTGATCACTTTGAATGGCCCATCGAAGGGTGGTTCAAGTGGTCGGCGAACGGCGTCGTGGCGAATAAACAAGTGTGATGTCTATTGTAAACTGGGGTGAACGAAGGCATCAGTCGTTTGAGGTCTAACCGGAGAAGGCCTAACTGAAGGCATTGCGTTTGTAAGCCTAGTCACGTAAGATGCTCTGTCGGAAACATGTTTGAAAGTTGAAGGGGAAACAAACTCACCTGGTAGGCGAAGAGTGGTCCCATAGACGAGTTCTGCAGGGGTACATCCAGCATCAACTTTCAAGGCGTTACGAATACCTAGTAGGACTGGAGGCCGAGCCTCGGTCCACTGAGGTATGTTTGCAGCTGGAAGGGAAGCTTTCAACTATCGATGGAAACACTCTACCATGCCACTTGCTTGTGGATGGTAGGCTGTCGTTCGGAATCGAGTGCAACCTGAAAGTGCAGTTAGAGCGTGAAATAATCCACACTCGAATTGGCGCCCACGGTCGGTTGTGACGTAGGATGGACATCCGAAGTTCGCGATTCATCTTTCGACGAAAACATGAGCTACTGTTTCAGCAGTAATATCCTTAATAGGTACTGCTTCTGGCCATCGTGTGAAACGATCCGCGCAGGTGTAAAGGTAAACACATCCACTACATTCTGGTAAGGGTCCTACAGTATCAATATGGACGTGGTCGAAACTCATGCCTGGGTCTAGAAAAGAGCCTAGAGGGCTTTTCATGTGTCGCGTGAATTTACAATTTTGACAAGCTAAGCACGACTGAGCCCACTCCCTAACGTCTTTGTTCGTTCCCGGCCAGCAGAAACGTTGTGCAATAAGCCTAATGGTGGCTCGTACACCTCGATGGGAGAGTTTCTGCAACGTATTGAGTAAGTTGCGTCGACATCTCTTCGGAACTATTGGGCGTGGTTGACTAGCAGAGACATCGCACAAAATTGTATCCTTGTCTGATCCGACCGGACAAAGTCGCAGCTTGAGAGTTGTGGACGACAACTCATGAGGCAGCTCAAGGTCTTCCTTTTGACGCCGAGCTAGTTCAATGAGATCAACGCCCTCGATATGGCTTATCGAAGTTATTCGTGATAGTGCATCGGCTACAGAGTTATTTGCTCGAGAAATGTGGCGGATGTCTGACGTGAACTGGGAAATGTAATCCAGCTGTCGTAACTCACGTGGGGAGTATTTGTCAGACGCCGAGCTGAGGGAAAAGGTTAACGGTTTGTGGTCTGTGAAAACAATGAAATCACGACCTTCCACTGAATGTCTAAAATGGCGTACAGAGCAGTTCATAGCCAGGAGTTCCCTACCAAATGTACTGTATCTTGTTTCCACGTATTTCAGCCGCCTCGAGATAAAGGCTAACGGTTGCCACTGGTTGTCAGTCAATTGTCGCAAAACTGCTCCAATTGCTGAGTCAGATGCATCAACAGCAATACTCAGAGGAGCATTGGGGTCGTGAAGCATGAGCATGGTTGCGTTCGAAATGGCTTTCTTGACTTTAGAGAAGGCAAGTCTAGCCACATTGGCCAGAGTCACAAACTTCATAGTCCCTCGAAGTAGATCTGTTAGTGGTGTCATGACAGAGGCATAGTTGGGGATAAACCTTCTGTAATAACTTACAGGGCCATTGAAAGTGAGGAGATGTTTCACAGTGGTCGGCTCTGGATAGTTTGTCATAGCCGCCACTTTATCTCTCAATGGGCGCATACCTTTGTTGTCAATGGTATGCCCAAGGAAGCTGAGTGATTCAACTCCTATTTCACACTTCTGCAAGTTTACTGTGATGCCATGTTTTTTCACTCCAAAACTGCCTGGTAGGACGCGTCGCCGGACTGTTTGGTTCTAACTAGGGCTAAACTCGGACCTACATAGGTGGTGCAGCCAATAGATAACTTTGTGCTGTTATCAACCAGACGTCGACGGCGAGCGTCTACGAGTAGATCTTAATGGTTTAGCAAATCTATGCCAGTGATGGGCACAGAAACGTCAACCAGGAGGAAAATCCAGTGAACAGGTTTACGTAAACGTAAGTTGAGGTAGGCGTACCGTCCCCCAAATGTTGCGATCGCCTTGCCGTTAGCAGCTTGGGGATCGAAGGGTGGGTAATGATGACGCTCCTTTTTCGGTGCAGGAAGAACGCTAACTTCTGCGCCAGTGTCGACGAGGTAGTGAACTTTCGTAGTATATATATCGGTGACGTAGGGCAAACTACTGTTTCCGCCGGCTACGGTTGCCGTGAGCACGTGCCGGCGTGACAGTTTCCTGAGTTTGTGCCCTTCTTAAAACGGCATGGTTTCCGACATTTCCTGGCTTCGTCTCCGTAAGTATTATGAAAGCAGCACCATTCAGGGTTTTCCACCCTGTCAGGTTTAGTTTTGGGGCAACCACGCGAGTTGCTGCGATAAGCCGAGATGCGTTTCTGTGAAGGCTACGTAAACTAAGTCTTCGAGGTCGTAGCAACTGTTTAACAGAGTTGCATAGCCCGGTCATTTCTGAAACCTGGCTTTCTGGTTTGTAGCAGACAGAATATACTTTGGAGGCGGGTCTGCTAGGAATCTCCAGTATTTTATCTGCCGAGGCTGCCAGGTCATCTAGTGGGACTGACTGAAGTGCCACCAACACGGTTTGCACCGGTTGTGGTAGTTTCGAGAGAAACAGTTCTCGGGAAAGGCCATTGTCGAATGTTCGTACACCGATTACTTCTCGTTTGTGTGCGAGGATCTCAGTAGCTGAGTGGCTGCCTAGCTCGATGTTACGAAGTAATTCGTCAAGGCACTGGTGATCTGTGAGATCGTTTTCTTCAAGAGTGGGGCCTTTAGAAGTGCATAAGGATCACTTACTTCAGGATTAAACATGTGTGCTGTAACATGTCTGTTTAATTCCCGCGGTAGTGAACGTATGACGGCAAGAAATCGAGAATGAGGATCTGAGACGCCCTGTTCTCGAAAACCTGCCTCGGCATACAGAAACCATGTTTCTGCATTGTCTGGCCAATATGGCACGAGTTGAATCGTGTTCGTAGTCGGCTTAATACGAATAAGCTTGAGAGTGTGGTCGGACATGAGAAGGTGTAGCAAATGGATATATAAATGTTATCGAAATGAAAACAATAAACGAATATAAAATGGAACTGGCTCACCAATTCATTATTTGTTATTGGTCGGGATATGTGATCACGTCGGGCTCACCAATTTAGGATTTGTCTTAGTGCGAACTTGACAGACGCAAAGAGCAATCACTAATTATTCGGACTTGCTATATACCAACGAATACGAGATCAAGGAACAACACGATAGCGTAGTCGGATGGAATAGTATATTTGGATGGTTGTGCCAAGATACCGATGCGTTCCAACTAACTGGCTAGACAGTCGAATACGAGCAGTGCAACGTCACACGACAGCGTGTCACATGGCGAGAATGCTTGACCGGGTGCCTTCAGCTCAGCGAGTCCGGTTAAACTATCGAGGTCAGCATCAATGTCGAAAGTCGTCAAACCCTGGGCAATGGATTTTGGGTAAGTGTGTGACGCTACAGGAGATAGACTGAGAAGACTGTTAGGGGACATCACATGCCAAGCCCTTGAGTGGAATCCAAAGGGGAAACGACGAGTTGGGCGTCTGAGGGGAGAGTGACATGGAGGAGATCATGTGAGGAAGAAATGAAAGCTTGTGTGCAGTGGTGGAGCGAGGTTCAAGAGATTGCAGAGAACAGAGTGCAATAGCGATGTGCTAGCGAAGCCTTACGTCCCACTAGGAACTCAAGGGACTCCTCAGCAGTACGCAAAAGTTGGAAATTGTGATCCATAGGAAATCGACCTAGTGGCAGAGTGGTTGACGCGTCCGCCTTGAGACCAAAAGTTCGTGAGTTCGATCCCTGGCCGGGTCGTGTTTGCGAACTGCCGAGGAGTCCTTTATTAAGACGTAGCAGCTATCCAGTGCTCCCGGATTTTCAATGGTTCCCCAACTGATGTCAGTCCATGATGAAGTCTACTTCTAAATAATAATGGTAATTTTCCGTTTATTTCTATGCCAATTACATTTTTTCTCGATTTCATATGGTGAAGTGTTAGGTGAATACTGATTTATAAAGTAGTTTGCCTGCAAACAGTTTAGTCTGTTTTAAACATTAATTGTCGTTAGCAATTGTGAACTTCTCATCCAGTAGACTATAAGGAAAATCATATGCAAACTAGGTAATCTGCAACTAAATTCCCACGTAAGATTATATATTTAGGTTTCTTTCGCAAGAAACAAAGTAACAAAACTGAAACACTTCATGCATTATTCCTTTACGCACTATGTCTGCATGAACGACACGAGTGGCTACAGGTAACTAACTTACTATCATCTACAAATTTCATTGGTTAGGTCAGAATTGTCAAGACAATGAAAGTCATATGGGCCCAATTTAGGAAAAATTCATCAACGGTGTGCTGAAATAAATTCAGATTACAGAAGAGTTGAAATATTTTCATAACTCTTATTCTGTTTAGCTGACTTAGGTAAACTAATGTTTCACAGAAAGGAAATATCAGCGAATAGTTTGTGCATTTTGGAATTTATGAATGAATTATAAGTAAATCTTTAATGACGAGCCTACATACAGTGATACTTTTTGATTCTGGTTATATTTCAAGCGAAATCACTGCTGTTAAATACACCAACAATTAAAATTTTTCATTGTCATGCAGCTTTCCAAAAGTATAAAAGCTTTATTCGACGCCATCACTTTCTGGTTATTCGCTTAGGCATTTTGATTTTAGTTTTATAGGCTATTATGTTCACGGTTAATACGATGTTTCTCATCGAAAACGATTAAAACTCTATACAATGATCACTATCTAATATTCAGAATTGCTTGTAACTTAGTCTGTATTCCTTGAGCATATCTAAATACTACGGAAAAATGGCTTTAAGAGACACTGTGCCATATCACATAGGCACTCAGTCCTTACCAGATTGAAATACTTGTATCAAATAGGCGTTCTACGTTTGTATGAAGCTGTAATTGCTCTTAACTTCCCAAATGGTGGGGACCTACTTTTGGGAATAAGATCAAGAGCCATACATTTTCGTTATGTAAATTACATTAATTCGACAAAAAGGGATAAAAATCCTCTTGTGAAAAACACAAGGTAATCAGTCTATGTAAAACTTTACCTTCTTTAATCACTAGGCACCTAAATAGTACTTCAGAGAGGCAAATCCAAGAAAATCAGGCAGGTTTCAGACCTGGCAGTGGGTGTATTGAGCAGATATTCGCACTTCACCAGGTTCTGTAACACAGACACGATTACCGGTTCCTGACACTTGCTGTGTTTGCTGAATTGCACACAGCTTTTGACTTAGTCAATGGAGAAGTTTTATGGCAACGATTCTCACCGAAAGGTATACGGAGTCAGTATATCGCTTTGTTGAAGGCCATGTACTAGAACACACGCAGGCTAGTTAGAACCTGTGGTGCATTGCGTACGTCGAGTGGAGCGCGTCAAGTATGTTCTGCCTCTTTCGATTCTTATCTAACTTAGTCGTAGATGGGCTTATGGAGGTCTTCCACCCGCCATCTAACTTTAAAGGGACTGAACTTGTTACATGAGACGCAAGTAAACCTAAGGTACTGAGATGAAATAATTCTGTCGCGTGAAAGCGCCAACAAGATGTAATTTGAGAATGTTTGGGATGCATTTCTCACCAGAATTGATCCAAATTGATACCTTATCTGAAAACTCAACCGATAGCTGCTACGTTGACGTAGCGGTAGGGCTTGTATAACGCAATAGCCTAACGAGCTACACTGACTGAAACATATGTTTTCTCGAGGTCCTACGATGCCAAAAGGGTCTGTTGAATAGTGTTACGATGAAAAACAGTTACAGTTGTAGTGTAAATTGGTACATTATGATGAGGATCCAAGGGAGAATCCATATTGCTGGCTGGGTAAAGCTTGACAGCAGTAAAGTGTTTTCCTTGGATGACCGGCAGTACCATGCACATGCTGCCTTCCCAGTGGGAGAGGGAGGTTAGATAAGTTTAAACCCGAAAATAGCGCACTCCCTTGCTGTGCTATTTCCAGGTGCTGGTGGTATAGCTTTTTCTATCTGGTGTTAGAACAGTCAAATTGCAAACCAACTATCCTCAGATGGTTGTATGTGATACGCCTCAAGCAAGTATCCTATGGGCTCTGTATTCACACGACACACCTCTTCCAGATACCCTCCAGAAACAGTTCCTATAGTGTAGGTACCTGAGCTGGAGAACAAAAAACTCGAGGAAACCAGGCAGCTCATATTTCTCAGGTCTTCATCTTTCGACAGGTTCTGGGGCACAGACTTACTTACCGGCGCCGAAACGCCGTATTTCCTCACTTGAATGTAGTATTCCACTGTATTCACCGTGAGGTGTCGTGGCAATGTCTGATTGGGAAAGAATTACTGAGCAAGTGTAAGACGCTAATCGAAGCTCTCCATCCGAACTTATACAGCCATGTTAGGGCATAAGAACAGTTGCCATAAGAACTGACGGCGACTAGTGCTATCCATCAGGGAGGGAAGCTAGCTGTCTTCGTTCCTATTTACCTACGCTGTAGGCGTACCAATAACCTTAGGTATTTATGATTTTACAGGAACTGGTCTACTCCCTTGAGGGCTAGGGCTTGACTTGGAGTGAAATTCTCTGCTTTTAATTTTTAAAAATGTTTACCAGGTTTTTGTGGGCCTTGAAAAAAGTTATTTATATTTTTCAACAAAACGGATGATGGGAATATGTACGATTAGGCTTCTAAAGTAATAACAAAAGTGATTGTTGATAATTTGCGTGACAACGGTTATAAAATATGCCGTTTAAACAGGAACAGAAAACCAAGTAAAAGACCATAACACTATGACTTTGTAATGACGTTTAATTAAGACTTTTCATTCCTTAACTAACGTGTGAACTGAAGAGGTGACAGTTAATTTAATAGATTAAAATGGTTTTTTATTTTAGACAAGCTAATTCGCAAACTTTCGTTTGGAAGGCGATGCTTCATTTCTGGTGTTCCATTTCTAAACAAAACTGGTCAGTCATGTCAGTGGCAGTTCAAAGTATGTTTAAAGCGTAAAAATGTAACATACTGGCCTTCATTCAAAGGTTTATGGTATTGTAGACTTAACGGTGAATCCTATGGATCCGTGGAAATGTGCTTTAAGTACTATCGTCAACAGTTTACCTAGTTGTAAGTGCACTGGAAAACGTTATTCTCTTTAATTTTTGCTTCTTACTACAATATTTGTCCCTCCAAGTCATGAAAGTGATTTTTACAGAGTATGTACCCAGTTGGTTATGTTGAAGTTTTCATATAAATTCATAATATTGTTGGTACGTTAACAGCTATGTTTTAAATAGCTAGCATAAAATACCTTGTTAAGGGTTTCTAGTTCTGTAACCAGATTGACCAAATGACCGTCTGAAGTAGTATAACACCTAATGTAAAAATGAATAAGGATGAACAGATAGTAGTTTGGGGGTTTTGTGAGCTCTGTTATCTCGAGGATGAACAGCACGACAACTTGAGAAGCATTACTTCTCAATGGAACGAAGACTAAAAACATCGTGGATGAACCCTTAAGAACGATACAGAAGTAGAGTATCAAAATGCTTGATACTAAGAGCAGTATGGAAAGTCATATGTTCGTCCGTGATTATAGGTCTCAATTTTCATGTATTGCTATAGTGAACTCAAAACAACAAGCTTGCAGTTTTTCGTGTCGTAAAATCTAGCAGTCAGTTGATTGACATAAAATTTCACAATAATTACTTGAGAGGTTTTCTATCAAACTTACTATCCAACCGAAATTGTCACGCATATAACAGTTAACACAAGTTAACATCAAAAACGTTCATTCTGTGTCCCACTACAAACCGATGGTTTAATTCAAATGGGTCGTTTTCACGCCTTTTACACAGATTGTTGGCTGTAGGGCACAGATCAAAATCGTGACCTGAACAGCTCATTGATAACATCTCTAACTGGAGCACTGGGAGAAATCACTTCTCTCGAAGTTGTAGATAATTCTTGTTGACCGATGTCGATAAGCACGAAAAAGAAGTCCATGGCTTACTGCTAATTAATTCCAACGAAATAGCACATATCAAATGGCATGGTGACGCTCAGTCTCCTAGCTTGGTGATCACATTTTAAAATAATCGAGAGTTCTGTCAGTAATTAGGCCTAGACAATATAAGGTACTGTTTAGCTTTCCACTTGGTTCTACTCTACGACTGTTAAACGTGACCATTAAAGGTGGAGAACATACAATAGATTCGGTTTTTCGACCACCTTCGGTTTTGTAGCAGTGGCCGTTAATCGTGTTCCAACTGCATCGGTAAGTTAAGTGTAGAGCCATCGGCGAAAGAAGTAGGTCGGTTGATGAGGCTGCAAAAGTTTACGGACTCAGGTGGCTTTGATGCGTGTCGCATATGTTGAGTAACTGTTTGCTTTAAAGTTTGATGATAACTAAAGTAGGCCTGGGCTGGGAAAAGTTACAGGTCGTTAGATTTCAGTGTGAGATCAGTACATGAAGTCTTTGACTGTTGACTTGAGTTGTGGGGTGAAAGGCAGGCTGTTTGGTCAGCGTCCGTATGACAAGTGGAATTCATGGTTGAAGATTGTAGGTGATTTGACTGAGAATCGACCTCTGAAGCGCAACCGTGTCCTAATCCTCACATTACACCTGGCTATCCACTAATGCCCCTTATTCTCTTTTAATAACCTTCTACGACTTCTGATGACACCATTTCTATTTGCCCTTATTTTGTTCTGCTACCTTGTATCTCTATATTCAGATAGCGCTAGGTCACATGCTGACATTAAGTGACTTATTGATAAGTTACTAAGCAGTTTCATCTATTCAGTGTCATCCCACGTTAGTAACAGATTTTCATAGCAATGAGGCAGCATAAAAAGTGTTACTTAGGATGTTATTCCATTATAGTAATGCAAGTAAAAAGAGTAATCAGTTAGGCATGCAAGTTAGCACTACTCTCTGTGAGAGATAGTTACACATGGCTCAATGACAGCCTAATGTAAGTTCCACTGCAACATAAGAATATGCTTATTATTTGACGTTTTTGAGTATGTGTTTTCCAGAACCTAATTGGGAAAATAAACTGCAGAAAATACGAAAAACACTATATGGAACAGTGATCTCCCTCTTCATATTCATCCACACGAACGTTAACTAGCGGTGAAACGTCATGATATGTCTTTGCTCATATCAACACTTACAGCCAGCTGTGGGCATGAATTCGAGTTGGAAAAACAGAAATAGGTAGAGAAAATACAAAGAATGCCAGAGGCGTTTTAGAAAAGTGGCACTCAGCGACCAACAGAAATCTTGACATTGACCCAATGAATCAATTAATGAGAAAGACCAAGAAGGTCATAGTTCACATCAGCAGGATAGCAGATGGAAATACGCATGGAGAAAATGACAAGATTTTATTAGAAACAACAACTCACACTCAACGTCACCAGGACAAGGTACTAAGCCACGTGGAGGAAATCTCGTAGATCACTTGGTTTTGGAGTTCGTGCTGAATTTGTATAAATTGACATTGAAAGCCTCACCATAAAACCGCAAAGCTTAGAAAGCATAACACTACCAAGAGTAATTTCAGAAGGTGTCATACAATCTATTACTCACTGTCGACTGAATTACATCATTCAGGTTTATGTCATGATGGTTGGATTATAAAATCTAAGTGTGATGCAAGCAACTTGATTTAGGATGATTTTTAGACATCCTATAAATCATTACCGGTCACCCAGCATTAGATATTACTGATCTTAATCACCTTATGTTGGCGAAATACTCAGTAGTTTGACGGGTGAATCACGTACGAAATACTTCAACATAATATCAATAAAATTTCGACTGGAGAGTCATTTCAGTAACTGTATGATCATGCATTAATGCCAAAAAATTTTTATCCAACTTTTATTCCAATGTAAGATAATATGAGGCATTTTACTGTCTCCATCCTACTTTTGTTCGTTCAGTTACACGAAAAAGCGGCGATTGTTCTGGAAATTGATTTCAGCATGAATATATTAGGGGACACTTCTTGCATTCATTGTGTTTCGTATCCTATTTATTGATACACTCCTAGTGAGTAAATTGTTGCTGACTATTGTATTTATACCATTTACACCTTAATTCTTCTTTTTTTCCAGATGTTTCTGAATATGAATTCGGTATTGCATTCACATTTGCATTCATGTTTTTGGGTATAATAAATTCGTTGTTTAACATCATTTTCATCATCATCCAGATAAAATTACCAAAGCAGGCACCTTTTTCTTATTAAAATGGTTACTACTCCTACTTCTAGTTCAAAATGAATTCACAGAGCTGGTAAGTTATTTCCTTCTCAATGATCGGGAATCTAGTGAGTATCTTGAAAATCGGGATATTCTGTATTCGTAGCATTCGTTTCAATCAAAATTTTGGTGATCTTTTAGCTCAGCACTCTATAAATTACATCATAAGATACTTATTCGTTTCATTATTCTTTGTCCTTCGGAAACCTAGTATGACATAAGGCTTCACTAGCACATCGCTATTGCACTCTGTTCTCTGCAATCTCTTGAACCTCGCTCCACCAATGCACACAAGCTTTCATTTCTTCCTCACATGATCTCCTCCATGTCACCCTCCCCTCGGACGCCCAACTCGTCGTTTCCCCTTTGGATTCCACTCAAGGATCTGGCCTAGCCTAGCCTGGAACGTGATATCCCCAAACAGTTTCTCAGTCTATCTCCCATCCAATCCACCTCCACTTTATTCTGCATATTTGTTGGGCGATGGGTTCTTGCCTCGTTGGTTCGTCGTCAGCCAGCCAGAGTTGCTTGGTGCTTATTCTTATTATTCTGGCCATCTGATCTGATCTTCAGTATCGAGTGGGCGTAGGCAGCAGCTGTTGATGGATGTCTGCAGTTTGCTGGAAATGCTTTCGGCAACGCACCAAGTTGCTGAACCATCACATAGAAGCACTGACTTACTTGACACTAGTGTTGAAAATCAGGATGTTGTCCACGCTCTATGCTGAGTGCAGTAGATCTCCACACTGATTTCAGATTAATGCAGGAAGGCCTGTCTTGCAGTCTTTTCGATCCTGGCTGCTTCGACGTCCTCATCTGTGCAGTCGCCTGTAGTTGAGACGATGCTGCCTAGGAAGGTAGGTGAAAGTGACTACTTCCTTCCTTCAGGTTTCTCCCGTTGATGGTGATCGGTGCTTGTTGTTGCTGTTGTTGGTGGTGGTTGGGTATCTTCATCACCTCTGTCTCCTCCACGTTCATCTGAAGGAAGTCCCGTCTTCGCTGCCTCTTCTGTCAACTTGTTGGCTTCTGCCTGTAGATCTTCGAGTTTGTGCGAAAAGACATTAGACATAAGTCATCATCGGTGAAATCCAAATCTTCTTTTGGGGTCTCTTCATCGGTCCGGCCAGCGTATGCCCATCTTCTTGCTCCTCATGGTTTGCTGCATGATCCAGTAGACCACAATCAGGAAGATCATCGGTGATAGTAGGTAGCTTTATCATACTCTTGTCGTCTGTCTTCACTTCAAAAGCGTCACTGAGCTTTCCATTACAGTGTGAATCTCTCGGCATGTAGCCTCATCATATAGCGTAGCATATAGCTGCTGTTGAATGAAGTTGATGAAGGTTTATGGCACTAAAACCGTAGTGTTGAAGCAGCAGCTTCCAAATTGGTTCGCTGTCGAGGGCATTTTCAAAGTCGATGAAGTTGAGTTAAAGATCCTGTTGACTGCCATTCTATGCTCTCTTCTATGATGATGCGTAGTGTAGCGTTGAGTTGCGGTTTGATGCGCACATGATTTGTTCTTCCAGGATGATGTGGCCTAATATTTTGCTCGGGGTGGACAGGGGCATGATTCCGCTCCAGTTCCTGCATAGACTTAGGTCTCCCATCTTTGAAAGTTGGACAAGATAACCCTTCTTTCAGTCTGCATGTATCTTTCCTTCCTTCCAAAACCTTTTACAATTGTAGTGTGTAGATGTCGTCTGATGTCTCTGAGTCTGTCTTCAGTGATTCTGGGGGAATCCCATCTGGTCCTGCTGCTTTCCCGAATTTCGGCAACCTCACGGCGTTCTTGACTTCACTTCTACTTTTGTTGGAGGGCTTGTGTTTACTGGCAATTCTTTGGCTGGGCAACTGATGGTATCTCTAGACGAGTTGCACGTGGTGGTAGTGGTTGATTCAATAGTTTTTTCAAGTGACCAGCCCATTGTTTCCTTTGTTTCTCCTCCTTGGTAACTAGGTTTCCTTCACCATCTTTCATTGGTTTCATCTGCGTTGATCTTCTTCCTCCCAGATAGTAACCTGGTCATTTAATATAGTGTTGTCAGGTCTCTGTCTCTCTTACCAGCAGCCTGTTCTGCTTCACTTGTCAATGTGTCATAGAAGTGTATTTTGTCTCTGCGTGCACACTTCTTTATCCAGTGTTTTGTAGGTTGTACTCAGTTCCTCTTTTCGTTGTTCATCCTTGCACTGCACTGGTTTATCTTCTGCTTCACCATCTTCCTCTTCTTACTCTATCAACATCCATGTGTCCATCGAGATCCATTCATGGTCTTCTTCCTTCTTAACACGGTTATACAGGTTTATTTCCACGAACCTTTCAAAGCGTTCCAGTGTTACTCCACACAGGTTTTTTCAGGGGTGTTACTCAACGTCTTACATTTTGTTTTGATGGCTGATGTGAAGATGTCTTTTGCAGTTTCGTCCTTCACTTTCTGTTCTGCATTTTGAACATGAACTGTGGCCTATCACTAACTTCTGTGAAGGCTTTCAACTTGATTTTGAAGTTAGGTTCCTTGTACTAGTGGTGTGTGAGTGGTGTGAATCTACGAACATCTGCTCTCCTTCTTCATCTTGTGTCCAGTAAGCTGCGTCTCCACTTTCTCCAGATTGAGATAAAGCCGATCTGAGTTTTAGTGTGTCTTGGTGGACCCAATGTAGCTTTGTGAATATCCTTGTGTTTATACACACTGCCTTCCATAATCAAATAGTTCTATGCGCGGAAATCCGCAAACAGTTCTCCATTGTCATTCACCATTTCACCGAGTGCCTCTCGACCCATGATTGGTTCTCTTCTGTGTTGTCTGCTCCCAGTTTGGCATTCATGTCACCACACCCATTAGAATGAGTTTTGATGTCGCCGTCTGGGCTGGAGTCTTGTCCAGCGTTGATTACAGTTGTGTGTAGAATTCCTCCTTTTCCTCTTCATCGGCATTATTTGTAGGTGCACAGTGTAGCATTGTGTGGTTGTGAATTTCCTCCCTTTTGAGTTGAATCTTGCTGTCATGATCCTGATCGTGGAGGAGATTGGTTCCCACTGCATGAGAGACAGCCTTCGATGCTCATGGGGACATCATGATAGCCACTCCAAAACTCAATATGCTCATGGTTTTCGTCTGGGTGACTGGAATAAATTATTGACTCTCCAGTTGGCAGTGTAGAGAGTCTCCTTCCATTCCATCTGCTTTCGCAGATTCCTAGCACTTCTATGCTATACCTTCTCATCTCTTTTGCAATCTGGGCAGCCTTGGTAGGTTCATACATATTGAGGACATCCCATGTCTCCATTCTTACTTTCGTTTTCATCGAGAGAAGTTACGCCTTGTTGACGAGTGCCAAAAAGCACGAAACCCAGGTCCAGGGCTTCCTGTCGATTGCTTGCAACCAACTAACATCTACTAATGTGCATCGCGATGCTGAGCTTCCTAGCTTGGTTGCCACATTGCAAATATGATCGATAGGATTCGGTCTGCACTCAGGACTAGACAACATGAAATTGGTTGTACTCCCGTGATCAATCAATACATAGAGAAGACACATTGGCCAATCGGCTTCCCGAAGGCTTTCACCAACTAGCGTTATTTCGTCTCAACGATTCCAGTGAGGAATAAGTTTAATTTTTATGTTTTATATTTTCTTTGTGCTTTGAAGTTTCTTTAGCGATTGGATTGGTTTTACAGGATAGGGTTGCTAGGCCAATGCCCAACCTCCCCTCTTTATCCGGGCTTAGGACTGGCTAGTAACTAGTGAACTTGGCGAGGTTCTCATTCACTTTATCAGTCAAATATCTACACATTTACTTTTGCATATTGAAATTACATCAAGGCTTCGCATTAGAAAATTAGTTTGATAAAAGTTTTTATGATGAAATTAAGCAGATAATATATATATATAGGTTTATGGGGATCCCACTTTTAAGGTTGTATTCATCACTGACTGACATCAGTTGGGGAACCAATGAAAACGTTAGAGTACTAGACAGCTATTTTTTCACAGTATGGGACTCCTCAACATTATGCTCCAACGACCCCTACAGGGATCAAACTCAAAATTTAAGGTTTCACGGTGAGCGTGTTAATTATTCAGTCACTACGTTGGAGGTCAATGGTTCACAGTTTCCTAGTTCTGTCAATACACAATGTATTGCGACATGCTTGGAGATGGATATTCCGAGGTTCTACCGAGAAGCCGTGACCAGTAGGATTAAACAGTCGGAAGTTAAGCGGATGCCAACTGAATACCTTAGTGGATAGTCGAGCCACATGACCAATTGACAGAAGTAGGAACTGTGGAACATTGATCTCTGACCTAGTGACTGAATAGTTGACGAGTTCGCCGTTAAATCTGAAGAGGTCCTGAGTTCTATCCCTGGTGGTGTCATGTGTGAGTACTGCTAAGTCCCCCACTAGGACGAAACAGCTGTCTAGACTACCCAGGTTGTTGATGGTTCTCCAAATAATGTCAGTTCGTGATAAGTGCTACCTTAAAAACAAATCCCTATTAAGCTCATATATATATATATATATATATATATATATATATATATATATATATCATTTACTTTGTTTCAATTTTTTTTGTTTTAGAAAAAGGAAGATGCCTCGTTTTTACAAACCACATGTAGGCCTCCAGCTCTACTTTTATTAGGATCGTTGGGTGACAGCTTGCCAAATAAAATACTACGAGCTGCAGGAGAATTCACTAAGCCATTTTGTGAGCACAAAGCTGGTGGCAGTTTACTTCCAACATCCTTCGAAATAGACTCAAGCGGATCCAAGAAACCAAAAGTGAAAGGTTTAAAAAAGGTTATTAAACAAGAGAAAGCTTTTCAGAACAAGACCATAGAACTAGACAAGTCATGCTCGAGTACTGATAACATAGTTATGTGTAAGTTTTTAACTTGGACCTACTAATGATAACATGTGATTTATGAAGGTACTGTTAAAGGCAGTGAATTAGGTCCATTTAGTTAGAAGCGTTCCAAAAAGTTTTGAAAACGATTACTCATCTGCGATTTGTAGATCCAATTATGATATATTAGTATTCATATTTCATTATTTAGTGAATGATTTCTGCTACGTTTTGGAAACTCGGATTCTATGTACGACTGTCTTTATTACTAAATGTTGTATCAACCATTTTAAGCTACAAAACACTCATTTTTCATTGTATTATTACTTCCTATCAATCATGTTATCGCGTTATTTGTTGATGTGAGAAGATATAATATGCTGATAGTAAAGTTATTTGGCAACAAACACTAACCTGGATCTTCCAAATGAGGGTTTCAAATTTTATTTTCATTTCTCACAAAAGCATAAACTTGTGGATATTCGTGCAGTAGGCAGTGAGCCACATCTGTTACTGTGCGGGCTAGTGATACTACCTGGCTGCCCGAACCTCAGTAGGTGGGGCAGGGTTCGAACCCATTGGTTGGAAGTCATTTCCCAAAACCAAGGAGCTACAGCTCCATATCACAATATTAGAAAAGTCTAACGTACCTTGCATAATGCAAAAAATGTGTCTACCGATTTTCGGGAACACTAGCTTCATCGTAAATCTTTTAAGTACCAGGTACAGTTTCAATGAAAAGAGGATACCACGACTTGGAGAATCATAAATCCTCCTTCTAGCAATACACACAGTAACCAAATAAGCTCATAGTGAAGAGAAGTTCAACAGAGCACTTGATATTGCTTACTGATAAAATACAATCGATAGTGGTAAACCCAGGAATATAGTTCCCATTTGCAAGCAATCCATTGTTCTGCATTTCAGCCTGCACTGTTCTTATCCAATACTGTGTCTTCTGTTAGCTCAAATTCTCACCAGTTGATTGTTATGAATTTCGACTTTGGTATGCATTCTTATGAGTAGCTCTGACTACAATACAATTGTTCGGAGGTGTGAAGTATGCTGCCGGTGTTCAGAATGTGGAGGCTTTGACCCAAATGAGAATTTACGATATAATTTATGAATTCCAGTTGAACCGGTGTATGGTTGTGATTACATAGATAAGGTTTAAATCCTTTACCTACAGAATAGAAGATTGGAATTCAGTCGTTGTTCTATTACTTTGGGGGGTCTTCATATAACGACATCACGTCCAGTCAGTATGAAGCAGTCCCACTCTTGAATATATGTAAGCATTTAGGTTTCAAAGCCTGCGTAACGTCCTTGTAAATATGAACTAAATCCAACTTTTTGTCATTTCATATCTTTCAGTATATGTGGGTTAGTAGATGCTGACGTAGATAGCAAACTCTGAGAACTCATTAAGTGTAAATTGTCATAGTAGGTCTACTACTACTACTACTACTTTCACTACTTTTACAACTTCTGACAATGTTTCCAGAATATTCATTCAGTTATTCCACGAAAAGTTGACCATGTAAAATATCTCAGTAACTTCACCCACCTCTACAAGTTTCGATCATCACGTATCTATGATATCGATGGCAGTAATGCCATACTATTTATCAGTTATATCAAAGATGTTCTAGATTGTAAATAACTGAAGAAAAATCCTCAAGAGAAGGGATTCACGTTATTTTACTACCGTTATGGCCTTAGGTTTATTGAAAGCCATATATCGAGGAAACTGTAAGAGAATAGAACCAATTAAGAAATGCTTATTGAATTGATGGCTGTCGGTCGATGGCATCTGTAAAAAAACGTTGATGACATCTGTCAGTTTTCTCTACACACTAATAAAAGTCATAATACAAAATTTTCTCTGTAGTATGTCAGTGATCATATGTTACGGCTTAACTGCTATACATTTGTGCATCTAGAAGGTATGCATTCGCAATAAAGCTACATGTATATTTGAAATTCACTTCAGATGTGTGCAATATATGATATGGGTTTCTCAAAACTCCAAACTTGAATCTTGTTTTCCCTCTTGTCATTGCAATTAGGTGGAACCATAGAACTAGCTTCAGGTGGGATAGCGTTTTTCCCAAATTTGGAACTTTACAAAAAGAAAGAGTTAACAAACCTTATTTATGGTAAGTTGAATACTAGTCGTCTTGCACGGCGACAAGTGCATGAAATATTAAAGAATATCTGTTTACTACTATCTTTGGCTATACTAACCACAATATCATTCGAACTAATTTTCTTCTAGATGTAACTTATAAAATTTAAGTTGTATGGATATACAATAAATAAATGAAGCAAGTTTGTTTGAATTTGCTGCGAGTAATGAATGAAAACCCATCACTTTTTGGGTTGGAATTTACAGTGACAAAAGATTTGTGATTAAAGTTATTCGCATCATTTTGAAACAGTATATAATTCAGACTTTTTGACGAAAAGACATCAGACATGCGTAGTATGATAAACTTCGTTATCATGACTTTTTTGTACCGGGTGACTATTCAGATAGTTGAAATAAACGTTTTTACTAAGAAATTTTTACATATGCCTAGTGAGCTATTCCTGTTAACTTTCAATATGCTTAGAACTCTTGATTTCTAGTATTTTCGTTCTATTCTACAACTTTCACAGCAACAATCATTTAAGGGCTGTCAACGAAAAACTTCCTGTTTTGTTTCGTAGCTTACAGTGAATAAAAGATAAAGTTGACAGATGCTAGTAGTACGCTACTTAGAAGCACTGAAATGAATATACAGAATCTGTAGTGATACCACGCCTAACTCCAATGGTGTGCACCTGAGCACACATCCCTCTCTTGATGTTTTCCAATTAATCCAAACGCTTTTGGCCTATCAATGCCAGATAAGGGCAGATAAAAAGGTGCGTGTGAAGATTATGGATAGTGTATTCCGAGCAATTTGAATTCTAAACACATCAACAAGCAGCAGACAAACAAAAACTATAAAAAAAGCATATAAATATATACTATCAACGTTACATTAGGAAATATACACAATTCAAACCAGTAAGAAGTCACTGTAATACAAAAAATACTGAATATGAATAATGTCAAACTCAATCTAATATAGAAACAAAAAGGCGCTTTTAAGGCGTGGTTTTCTGGAAAGTTATTTGCAGCGCAAATATTTCTTAGTCCATAGAATAAGAGTGGGAAGTTAACAAAGTCTGAAAAATTTCAGTCAGACAAATAAAGCCTCATTTGAATATACTTTCTTTATATCAGTTAGCTAAAAACTCATAAGTTCATTATGTTAATAATAGTTATAAAAAACTTCTCTTTTAACGATATTCCATGTATAATCAAAATGATAAAAGAATATAGCTTTATATACAAGAGAATTTGTGGAGAAGTCTGCTATATAACAACTAAAAGTCAGCTTTTCTTAAATTACGCTGGTACTTAATCAAAATGCAACCATTTCGCTACAGATTATTTCAAGTTATGCATGAAAATATTATATTCTAGCGTCACTACTTTTATAAGCATAAATAACAAGGACACATACTTCTCTATGATTTACTTTCGAATAGTATATTTGTGAGTCTAAATATGTAACAACGCTTTATTAAGAATGAAATCGTTATTTTATATAAATTGTATGAATTCGCACTCAACAGGAAATTATCTGCTTCAGGTTCGGTAAATGTTGCAGTTTCGTTGACTAGTAAAGTTGTTCAATCTTTTTTATATCTGTTGTTCTTATCTCTAATTTTAAATGTAGCTTTAGAGAATATGACGGTGGGTGTCTCAACTTCAGAGCATGAAACCAAATCGCCTATTATCCATGAAGTTGTTGATGAACTACGCTATCCAAATGAAACCACTATTTGGGCCAGTGCTGAAGTTAACCCAGCGAACAGAAAAAAACTAAAGGAATCCGCCCTCAAATGTTCACAAAATGATTTATTTGTTGTGGATTATTTTTTAGAAACGATAGAGAGAAACTGGACATGTAGTTCTTTGCTACGTAAAGGGAATTTAAGAGAAATTACTCAGTAAGTTTTTGCCAAGAAACATACAGCTATAGTTTTAGAAATGCAGATTTGAATGCATACGTTTTTGTTGTTACAAGTTTAAACTGTTCACTCGAATGATCATGCTAGAGACTAATAAGCTACCTTCTAGTAACTACCCGGGATTTTACTGACAGCCAAAAATTTCTACAAAGCAACAAAACTCTCTAGCTACTTCATCACAAACAATCAGTACATAAATGGATGAGTGAAATAAAAAAAAAAACTTTGTGCACATTCGTGCAGTATATATATATATATATATATATATATATATATATATATATATATATATATATATATATATATATATATAATTTCAGTTTTTTAAAAGCTATGAAATATGGCACATATTCGATAAGTTATTATCATTACATCTCTGTAAAAAAACATGTCATGATGTGCACAAATAACATTCGGAAACAAATGAGAAACAAAATTCCAAAATGAAACATCCAATATATGTAAGTCTTCTAAACGTAAAGGTAAACAATAACCAAAAGTCGTAATGAGCCATATCATCAAGCTTTTAGGATCGCTTTCTCCTAACTTATAAAGCTTCACACCTTTTAATAGATAACACATATTGATGTTTACTCTTTCTCTTACCAAGTATTGTTGTCTGAAGCTTCATTATCTGAAATATTATCTGCAATCGATTCTGTAGTAAATAAATAACGGTAGTAATCAAGTATGCATCAATTAACAGTACACTTAACCTATAAATCCAATCTAATTTCAAATTGTGACCTTTTGAATAGAGTAATCTACAAGGAGATGATTAATCAACATACTATGGATGCACAAAGTAGATTCTTGTTTATTTTAGAAGTTACACAGTTGAAAGCGAACGTGTTCAATGCAGCAGAAAAAATACACACATTATCCTCAACTTAACCGCTATACCTAATCTTATCATCTCATTCCTCCTTCCCCTCTTTTACTACTTTCTACTTGCTATGGCCAATTGTTCTTTACTTTTTCATCTTCCTCCTTATTGCCTTGTTACTTGATGTGTTGATATGAGGTGTGGCAACCTGGACCATTGCGCAGTAATGCCTGGTCCTATGTTGATCTTGATGAAGAGTAAAGAAAAATAACAGGGTAATAAATAACAGAATAAGAAAATATAAGGCACAGATTTCTATGTGATAGTTTTCATCGAATAATCCAGTTGCTTCCAGGAAGAACAACCCCATCATATTTATTACTAACCAGTGAAGAGATATTTGAATACCATGAATTTTAATTCTGCTTTAAGCAATGACACTTGCGTTACCTGTCGTTCATGGAGAATGAATATATATATAACGCACACAGATCGCATATAGTGTGCATCTAAGAATTAGCAGCTTTATTAATTACCTTCTAGTGACTACTAGATTATGATACGATCGGTTTCAGTGCATTCGACCTCGTTGTTGATACTGAAGTAGCTGCGGGGCCGATTGAAGTCGTGGACAGATCACTAGCAAATTTCTGTTTCGCAACCCATGGTGAATTCAGATTGGAAGAAGCTTCATCAAGGATACCTCAGCTTTCAGATATGAAGATATATACAAGTGTATGTTTGGCAGTCAAAAATTAACTATAATTTTTTTAATTTGTTTTTATTGAGCTTTAGAGAATTTAAGTATTTCACTTGCTATTTTAAACAGTTATTAGTATACAACAACAGATATAATTCCTACCAACTGCATTCTCACCTTGATAAAAGATTGATTTTCTGGTTGGATTATGAACTTCTTGAAATGCTATTTCAGCTTTGAGTCACACCACATAAATATATAAGTTTCTGAGGCAACAAGGTAAATTAGGGTTAGAACTATATGAAAACGTCTCGCTAGAAAACAGGATTCAAAATCTTACAAGTGTGACTAAGCTATTTGAAGTGATTATGTGAATGCTTTACTCGAAATCAATAATCACTTGGTGTAATTAATTCATAATAAAAAGAATAAAGTGTTAGTGAAGATCTTAAATTATTAAGTGCAACAATCAGTAGGCTAAAAACTACTTTCCGTTCATTAGACTTAAATAAAACAAATTTATATACGAGTTCTGTGGGAAAAATTTTTTGCCAACTACAATCTTATTAGACAGGAAATATTGAAACTAACGCATGAACAGTAACTTTAAAATGAGAACTTAGAATTTGACATGAGATAATTTATTAATTAAGGGATAAACGTGTGATTTCTAAATGGTTAACTATGTTTAAAACAAGTTTAAAAAAGGTGGTCGAAGACTTGAATCCATTTTGTGTCCATCACATTTAATGGGCATGTTTTACAGTAATAGAGTAGAACAGAGCAAACAGCTACACAGTACTCTTGATCATTGGTAGGTAATCGAATATTCTACTGGTGCACAAGGTGACGTAAGTTGGCACAATTCAACCGACCAATTCAGTCCTTATTGTTATTCGAGTCAGTAATGAAAATCAGTCATAAAAAGCTTACCTTTGGGAGGCGAAAAACGTATATCTAATGTCCTGAAATTGTTACTCAAGGTGCCCATAAGACTTTGCATCTTGTCAGTGACTTTGTCTAGAAGGACTTCAATTTTTGCATACCCTACATCTGCTATGAGATATAACTGAATGAAGTTGGGCGAAGAAAAGGAAACCTTCATAAGCACAATTATTTTAAAGTTAAATAAAAATTGAACAGTGGATATCTTTGACGGACAGAACTAGACGTAGACAATCAAGCTAATAGAAAGTATTGATTGGAAACTATTTTTTATCACATAGTCCAACTTGTTTGTCTTTTCTGTGGATTTCAAATTTAGGCATATGATAATTTTTAAAAACATGCAACCAAAACAGATCAGCTCTGGTGGCAGAAGTGTTGCTGCCAACAAAATAGACATCTTTTCCTCTTGGTATCGTGTTTTCAGATTTATTATAAACGTAAGGGAGTATGCGATAAACTAACACGACCGGGTGAAGCATTGAATTTTTATCAATAAAAGTGATATTTCAGACCGTGATTTCAAATTTGTTGCAAGCCCCGGTATTTCAGATGAGTTTGATTCCCGCCATACTAACTTGAAAGTCACTAACTACCATGGGATAGTTAGTTACTAAATGTTAGGAATCAAAGGTTTTACCTTTAGGGATAAATAATATAGCGTAAATCAAGAATGTGGCACATAAAAATAACTACAAACAGCCAAACTTTATTTTCAGAAAATGTCCTCTACGTGAGATGATTAACTATTTCTTTCTTTCAATTTTATGGCAGCTTTTAGATGCTTGTAGAAATGCACCTCCTGTCAAGATCGATGAGAACACTAGTCAGTTGCTGAAAGTTTACTACTTAGCAATGAGACGCTTGTCAATTCAAGACCAACAAACGGCCCCAGCTTCTGCATTACCTACATTGTGAGTTTCGTCATCGATTTAATTGTTACTTTAGGTATAAAACTTTTTGGGTCTGTAAATGTGATTATGTCAAGAAGTCGAAATATCAAAATATTAGGTTGTCTTGAATCTTAAATGATAAGCACATTACAAATAACTTTCAACCACAAAAGAATAAAACTGTTAGTTCACCATACCACTTCCTCAGACTGATAGAATGCTCAATCCTCCTACCGAATAATCTGGCAATAAAACTAGTGAGTAGTCAAAATGCTTTAATGGAACCAAGAAGGCTGAATATCCATTTTACTCTAAGGAGGAAACATTAAACAGAAAGAAGCAGTACGAAATTAAGTGGAAATGACCTTTACATTTATATAGACAGTCATTAGTGTTAACGTTCTAACTGATGCATTTTCAAGTCCCTGTAAATAACATCATAACTAAAGCGAATAAACAATATTCACTCTGCGTACACCGGTACTGATATATCTGTCTAACGGGAATGATGTAATTCCAGAACAATCTAATTTGAACATAGGAAAACACAGACGATTGCATCGAAGATAAATTTTTCTTTTCGACGAAATCATTTTTTCAGCTGTACATTCATGATGTAGCTAAGATTGATGTCAACTTTGCTGACACTAAACAAGTTATTCAGGAATAAAACAATAGCTGAAGTCAAATCTAAACGCATGTAACGACCTAGTGCCCGTTCGTGCAGCAGGCTGTGAGCCACATCTATTATGGATGGCCAATGATCCTACCTTGGTCCCAAAACCTCGATAGGAGGAGCGCTGTTCAAACTCACGACCCATTAGTTAAAAGTTGACTGCCTAAGCGCCAATGATTCACAACACCATAAAGCACAATCCAATACTGAATGGAACAGGAAGCTAGTTCACATCTAAATTCACTACAACAAAACAGGATATAAAGTGAAAATTAACGTGAAGGTATTACGAGTGGATTTCGCAGATCATAGCTCTAGTTGAAGATTCCAGCCTTATCACTATGTTGAAAAGATACCTCATTTCGTTTTTGTTATTTCTTGTCATAATGATAGAAGTTTTCGAATTTCAGATTTAAATTAGCTAAGGCTAATGCCAAAATCAACGGGCGTATTGTCGGAAAGGAAGTTGATGCTATCGTTGCAATTTACATCTATGACACATTTATCGAGCACCAAACAGGTAAGTGAAACTTTAAATTGACTATCTATGGAAATGCTTGCAAAAAGGGAACAAAATGCTGCTGTAAAGCGACTAATAAGTTAACTTTAGGCATACATTTTTGTTTTCAAATTAGCATTCATCACAAACTGCCATAAGTCGGAGAATCATCAGAAACCTGGGCAGCTACTTTGTCCTAGTATGGGACTCCTTACCAGTGCGCACCCACGGCCCATCCAGGTATCATCAGGTCTCCCGGCGAGCACACTGGTCACTCTGCTACTGGGTCGGAATTCAACTGTCGAAACTCAAATACTGTCTAGTTCTATTATTGATATGCTTGGAGTTAAAGTCCCAAGGTTCTAATCAGTAGTGACCGGTGGGGCAAAAGAAGTCGGACGTGAGAACGAACGCTCGACCATGATACTAGATGATGGTCGGTCTATATCGAGAGTTGAGAAAGGTAAGAGAATGTGAACTGTTGGACTTCAATCCAGTGTCTGAATGACAACGTGATCGTCGCAAGACCTGACGACCCTGGTTTTATTCCACTGGATCAAATCGACCAGTATCTATCCGCATATGGATACCTTGAAAGTATGTCTACATGTTGCTTGGACCTACATTATGATGTTATTTACCTGATAGTGGCCACCAGTGGAATTACGACGTGCTCTTTGTTCTATCCACAACTACTGAGTCAGAAACTGCGAAAAATTGCTGGATTTTATGAATAAAGAAATTAAAATTTTGATCCTCCAACGAGGGTTTGAGGGTTTTGGGTCTAGCTACTAAGATTTGCGAATTTTAGTTATAATACACAGCGTTACTATATTCCGAAATTAGTACAGTTAAAAGAAGTGACATACTTTAACTGTTTGAGGCAAAGGTTAAATTCAGAGTAGACTAAGTAAACAAAGAAGTCTAGAGATGAGATAACGACAAAATAATCGAGACTAATGTTGTTTCAGGACTATATCCGGCAAAAGTCTTCATTATTCCTTTGTTTAAACTGACGTTACCACGTGAAAGTAAGTGTGGTAAACTTCCGCCTAATAGTAAGAAGTAAATCGAGGTACATGCGTAATGAATGCCTTGTATAACAAAACCTAGTTTTTCAGATAAACTGAGTGGTATATGTATTCAGTTTAGAATTAGGCTCCTGATCAATATCAGTCATATAAACTCAGGTATGTTTATATTGACTAGATGATCTCATAGAACACGATCAAAACGATAACTTTTATCATCAGTAAATTGTAGCAATTGCCTTTCATGCTATTTAGTTTAGTGGATATTTATGATAAACGATGACTATCTAAGTTTATGTTTAATTATTGCAGTTGATAGACTAAGAATGAGAGCAGCCTTATTCATCAGTTAATAAAGCATAACTTTACAGTGGCCACTCGAACTATACTTCAGTGTGCAAAACATCAACAATTCTCGATGGTAGGAAAAGACAAGATGTGGTTGCAGCACAGAAAAAATTTCTTTTCGACGAAGTCATTTACTAAGCTGTACACTCGTGAATATATGTTACAGTGGACAGAACATCCCAGAATTATGTCCGGTCAGAGGGCAAAATATATTAAATAACTAAAGGAAGGCAACTAATCACATTTAGGTTTGTGTATGTGAAAATAGATCACGAAGCATAAAAGGATGTAAATATTTCTTCAAAGAAAAAATAAAATAGTCAGTGATACATATTACTTACTCAAACGAACGCCATTCCGTATGTATGTGGTTGAAGAGATGAGCCTCCTGATGCTTTCTGCCCTGAATTATAATTGACACAGCAAATACCAGAAAACCGTTTGCACTCACGTTTAAAAATGCTAAAGTCTCATCATATGACTTACATTTCACTTTGTAGAGGAGTACTCTACAATAAATAGTAACAAAATCCATAACTAAACTTTAGGATATGCATTAGGAAAAGACGAAAATCTTAACAGGTTTCCTTGAACAAAATACTATTTACACTGTAGAGCACAGTTTGATATGGAGAGTTTTTTTGCTTCGTAATCCTCACAGTTATTTCTTGAACTCTAGGTAGAAACTATCTTGGGTCAAAATCGTTTCATTACGTCCCAGGAATGCAGCAAGACTCAATGGAAGAGCTAAACGCTACACTGATATTAATCAGCAAACAACTGAAGGATTTAATAAGTGTCGCCGTGGATGAACTGTAATCAGTAATTTGTTATGCAGTATTATGTATTTTACTAAAAAGTCTTAACGTGCGTATTATTTACGCCTGTAAATCCCCGAATTGGTTATCAGTAGGTAACTAATGTGGCTGGTTAGTCTTTAGAGATGATCAAAGTCTGTCAGTCAAGTTCTGCAAAGTGGGTCACTAAGCGATGCAAAGCAACACTTTGGTACATTGTATTTTGGTGCTAGGTAATGGGAGTCACTAGGCACGACAAGCCATATACTTAGGTTACGTGCTTGTTGGCATTCATAAGCAAGGCCTATGTGCAATTATCAGGAGAATGGTGTCCCCTCGGTGATTAGAACCAGCACTACTCAGTGTTCAGGTCAGAGACTTTATCGATGTACTTCGATCGGCACTAATCACTAAAGACTAGACAGCTACATCGGTTACTTGCTGGTAACCGATTTGTGTACGTGACCCAGTCCCACAAAGAGTTAGTCGTGACCCGGATAGCTTCGTGGTTGAGTTTCTGACTTCAGCACTGAGGTTGGCCTGATTCAACAAGAGAATAACAGATTCCTTATGGTTTCAGACGCATCTCACTGACAGATGCCAGCAAGCAGGAGACCTAGGTTAAGAGCTTCATGCAGACTAAATAATACCATTTAACACTCCTATATGTATTCCAGTGCATATATATGATGCTTACAATACAACAAAGAAGTCAAACAGAACAAAGTTACTTCCTGAATGTGTCATTTACCAAATTTCTGATGAATTTCAAGCACACTTAGCATCTAAGAACGGAGAACCTTTAGGCCAACATGTTAATTGCAATAAAACTTTACACACACTTAACTACTCACGGATGCAGTACACACGAAATGATATATAAGAAAAAGGTTCAATGCAGACTAATCCAATATGAATGCATTTTTAGAACAATGAACAATTTTTGATATTGATGAGGAGACCTGTGGCGTTAACGTAGTTGGGTGGGAATTGGATGCCCATTATTCACAATGGATAATGGTCATATTATGTAGCGAACTGTCAGAAGTAGGAAAACATGAACCATTGGAACCCGACCCACTGGCTGCATAGAGATGAAACCTCGAGGTCCTAAGTTCAGTCCATAGCGCTGTCGTGGATGCGCACTGACGTCTTACACTAAGACGAAGCAGATGTTCAGTGCTACCAGGTTTTCAATGTTTCTAAAACTGATCTCAACCTCATCTAGGTAACTAGTTCACTAGTTACTAGCCAGTCCTAAGCCCGGATAAAGAGGGGAGGTTGGGCATTGGCCTAGCAACCCTATCCTGTAAAACCAATCCAATCGCTAAAGAAACTTCAAAGCACAAAGAAAATATAAAACATAAAAATTAAACTTATTCCTCACTGGAATCGTTGAGACGAAATAACGCTAGTTGGTGAAAGCCTTCGGGAAGCCGATTGGCCAATGTGTCTTCTCTATGTATTGATTGATCACGGGAGTACAACCAATTTCATGTTGTCTAGTCCTGAGTGCAGACCGAATCCTATCGATCATATTTGCAATGTGGCAACCAAGCTAGGAAGCTCAGCATCGCGATGCACATTAGTAGATGTTAGTTGGTTGCAAGCAATCGACAGGAAGCCCTGGACCTGGGTTTCGTGCTTTTTGGCACTCGTCAACAAGGCGTAACTTCTCTCGATGAAAACGAAAGTAAGAATGGAGACATGGGATGTCCTCAATATGTATGAACCTACCAAGGCTGCCCAGATTGCAAAAGAGATGAGAAGGTATAGCATAGAAGTGCTAGGAATCTGCGAAAGCAGATGGAATGGAAGGAGACTCTCTACACTGCCAACTGGAGAGTCAATAATTTATTCCAGTCACCCAGACGAAAACCATGAGCATATTGAGTTTTGGAGTGGCTATCATGATGTCCCCATGAGCATCGAAGGCTGTCTCTCATGCAGTGGGAACCAATCTCCTCCACGATCAGGATCATGACAGCAAGATTCAACTCAAAAGGGAGGAAATTCACAACCACACAATGCTACACTGTGCACCTACAAATAATGCCGATGAAGAGGAAAAGGAGGAATTCTACACACAACTGTAATCAACGCTGGACAAGACTCCAGCCCAGACGGCGACATCAAAACTCATTCTAATGGGTGTGGTGACATGAATGCCAAACTGGGAGCAGACAACACAGAAGAGAACCAATCATGGGTCGAGAGGCACTCGGTGAAATGGTGAATGACAATGGAGAACTGTTTGCGGATTTCCGCGCATAGAACTATTTGATTATGGAAGGCAGTGTGTATAAACACAAGGATATTCACAAAGCTACATTGGGTCCACCAAGACACACTAAAACTCAGATCGGCTTTATCTCAATCTGGAGAAAGTGGAGACGCAGCTTACTGGACACAAGATGAAGAAGGAGAGCAGATGTTCGTAGATTCACACCACTAGTACAAGGAACCTAACTTCAAAATCAAGTTGAAAGCCTTCACAGAAGTTAGTGATAGGCCACAGTTCATGTTCAAAATGCAGAATAGAAAGTGAAGGACGAAACTACAAAAGACATCTTCACGTCAACCATCAAAACAAAATGTAAGACGTTGAGTAACACCCCTGAAAAAACCTGTGTGGAGTAACACTGGAACGCTTTGAAAGGTTCGTGGAAATAAACCTGTATAACCGTGTTAAGAAGGAAGAAGACCAGGAATGGATCTCGATGGACACATGGATGTTGATAGAGTAAGAAGAGGAAGATGGTGAAGCAGAAGATAAACCAGTGCAGTGCAAGGATGAACAACGAAAAGAGGAACTGAGTACAACCTACAAAATACTAAACAAAGAAGTGAAGAAGTGTGCACGCAGAGACAAAATACACTTCTATGACACATTGACAAGTGAAGCAGAACAGGCTGCTGGTAAGAGAGACAGAGACCTGACAACACTATATTAAATGACCAGGTTACTATCTGGGAGGAAGAAGATCAACGCAGATGAAACCAATGAAAGATGGTGAAGGAAACCTAGTTACCAAGGAGGAGAAACAAAGGAAACAATGGGCTGAACACTTCAAAATCTATTGAGTCAACCACCACCACCACGTGCAACTCGTCTAGAGATACCATCAGTTGCCCAGCCAAAGAATTGTCAGTGAACACAAGCCCTCCAACAAAAGTAGAAGTGAAGTCAAGAACGCCGTGAGGTTGCCGAAATTCGGGAAAGCAGCAGGACCAGATGGGATTCCCCCAGAATCACTGAAGACAGACGCAGAGACATCAGACGACATCTACACACTACAATTGTAAAAGGTTTTGGAAGGAAGGAAAGATACATGCAGACTGAAAGAAGGGTTATCTTGTCCAACTTTCAAAGATGGGAGACCTAAGTCTATGCAGGAACTGGAGCGGAATCATGCCCCTGTCCACCCCGAGCAAAATATTAGGCCACATCATCCTGGAAGAACAAATCATGTGCGCATCAAACCGCAACTCAACGCTACACTACGCATCATCATAGAAGAGAGCATAGAATGGCAGTCAACAGGATCTTTAACTCAACTTCATCGACTTTGAAAATGCCCTCGACAGCGAACCAATTTGGAAGCTGCTGCTTCAACACTACGGTTTTAGTGCCATAAACCTTCATCAACTTCATTCAACAGCAGCTATATGCTACGCTATATGATGAGGCTACATGCCGAGAGATTCACACTGTAATGGAAAGCTCAGTGACGCTTTTGAAGTGAAGACAGACGACAAGAGTAAGATAAGGCTGCCTACTATCACCGATCATCTTCCTGATTGTGGTCTACTGGATCATGCAGCAAACCATGAGGAGCAAGAAGATGGGCATATGCTGGCCGGACCGATGAAGAGACCCCAAAAGAAGATTTGGATTTCACCGATGATGACTTATGTCTAATGTCTTTTCGCACAAACTCGAAGATCTACAGGCAGAAGCCAACAAGTTGACAGAAGAGGCAGCGAAGACGGGACTTCCTTCAGATGAACGTGGAGGAGACAGAGGTGATGAAGATACCCAACCACCACCAACAACAGCAACAACAAGCACCGATCACCATCAACGGGAGAAACCTGAAGGAAGGAAGTAGTCACTTTCACCTACCTTCCTAGGCAGCATCGTCTCAACTACAGGCGACGGCACAGATGAGGACGTCGAAGCGGCCAGGATCGAAAAGACTGCAAGACAGGCCTTCCTGCATTAATCTGAAATCAGTGTGGAGATCTACTGCACTCAGCATAGAGCGTGGACAACATCCTGATTTTCAACACTAGTGTCAAGTAAGTCAGTGCTTCTATGTGATGGTTCAGCAACTTGGTGCGTTGCCGAAAGCATTTCCAACAAACTACAGACATCCATCAACAGCTGCTGCCTACGCCCACTCGATACTGAAGATCAGATCAGATGGCCAGAATAATAAGAATAAGCACCAAGCAACTCTGGCTGGCTGACGACGAACCAACGAGGCAAGAACCCATCGCCCAACAAATATGCAGAATAAAGTGGAGGTGGATTGGATGGGAGATAGACTGAGAAAACTGTTTGGGGACATCACGTGCCAGGCTAGGCTAGGCCCTCGAGTGGAATCCAAAGGGGAAACGACGAGTTGGGCGTCCGAGGGGAGAGTGACATGGAGGAGATCATGTGAGGAAGAAATGAAAGCTTGTGTGCAGTGGTGGAGCGAGGTTCAAGAGATTGCAGAGAACAGAGTGCAATAGCAATGTGCTACTGAAGTTCTATGTTGCACTAGGAACCCAAGGGATAAATTAATAATAATAATAAAACTGATTTCGGTCCGTGTTACCATCTAACTGCTGCTCTGAGCCGTGTGGAGAAATGTATATATCTCGTTGACTTTTGTGTTGGAATGAAACTGAAAATCACCGCCGCAAGCGTTGTAGCATTTATAAGTCTAAGAAAATTATTTTCTACGAATTAATAATTTGCTATTCCTGCTCTTTCGCTCTTGACTTTTATTTCTTTCTTTTTTGTGTCTTGCTGCATCGTATCTTGATGTATTTTCGAGAAGTTGAACCATACAGTGGAAAATAATGCGTAACTTAGAGACCGTCGCAGCAGGTGGAGTGGGTTTTGAACCTGTAACCTACTGATTGAAAATAAAGCACCCAGTCAAAGCTTACATGATCGATAAGACGTAATGCTAGGTCCTACAGCGATCCTAACTGAATGAAAATTGGAAATTTGAAAATAAGAAGAGGCTCGTAAGTATCGTAAGTATTTGTTTCTACTAAATGGACGAGTTCCTGACCACATGTGAGTGATTATCCAGGGTGTTTTAGTAGAATGACTGACCTATGAATCGGAATAGGATAAATCAACGATAGCAGATTAATATTCAATTCTGAGCCGATATTGATATGACTCACATTCCAAATCTATGTGATTCGACGGGCGTGGGGTCTCAATAGAACCACTTCTCAGCTTTTTGAAGGATTTTATTTTCAAAAGGAGACAAAGACATTCTTTATGTACCTTCACGTTTGTGCTAAGTTCTCATTTTAGCATGCACATTTTCACATAGCTAGATAAAATTAGAATTACGTTCACTGCAATCTGAAAAATTCTCCATCACTAAAAAACAACAGCATGCGAATATAAACATAAAGATCCCGTTTAAACGCAATATTCACATCGATACTGATAAGATAAAATTGCAATTCGCTAGAACAAGGCTAAGCAAGCGTCCTGTTCAATTTCAGACCAAATACATTCATCTAATAATTATACACGAAACATAATTTTTGAGGTTTTCGTGGCACAAATAGAGGTATTATTAAGAATCATGGAGTTCTGAACTGTACGATATAACCTTCGCAATACATTCTAGATTAACCCAATATTTCTAGCTAACAAAATATCCTTTCCTACTACAATGTGCGAAAATTAGACAATATTTTCCACACTCATTTTAGATATGAAACAACAAAAATTATGGATGGTTAATTTATTATTTTCACTCGTATTTCAAAAAGAACGACCTCTTCGTGCATTTTGCATTACCACTGGTAGTCCTTTTTTGTCAATTTTAGAAGATAAGAATGAAAAGTAATGGCTATATTGTACACGTTTAGGTAGATCCATCTTCTTCAACATTTAATCTAGACTCCAATCTGGCGGTAGAGGAAAGCAAGTGTTCAATATAATTCCCCCTTTCCACGGGATGACCACGTGCGTATTCGAATTCTAAACAATAATGAACTAAACTTTAATTGTTTAAAGCATACCTTGAAGAGCATCTTTGGGGTTCATATTCATATGGTCGATAAGATATCTTCAGAGAAGTTAACAGAATGAAAACAATTATCTTACCTGCATATAAAGTAACCCGTCCGGTTTACACCATGTGTACAGTGCACAGCGATTATGCCATCTAAAGAATAAAATCCAAGTAGTTGACATACTGAAATAACGTAAAAATAATCTTTAAAGAATATTTTATTTTACATGAAATAATCCATTAGCCAATAAGATGTGCCGATCACGCTATAGGTTGTTTTTAATATGCAATCAAGCTCATGTACTATTTAATGATGTTATCTAGTTATTTAGACTTCTCTAGGTCGAGTTTATTTGGAATCTATTATCTGAAAGTTACAGATGAAGTGTCCGAGAAAATGAGCAGCTGGTCTAGTGGTGTTAAACATAGTAGGTGGTTTTCCATCCAATATGTAATGTCGTTTGCACCTTGCGTAAAAATAACAGTGATTGAACTTTGTCCACTACCAAGCTTTAAAGGTTGATGCAACTCAGACGAGTGAACTTGGGCACCCAATCTGTTTCTTCTCTTGTTACCAGCCGGCACAATAATGAAATTAAACTCAACCCTGGAGATGTTTATATGCTAGGTAACATGAGGGCGTATTACACCATCCGGTTGCCGACATTGAAGCAGGATCTATTGCTTTAAACCGAACAGCCACATTCACTCCATTAGGTAGAATGTGTCAAAAAACATGACGAAAACGGTACGCTTTATAGAAAATCATTAACGGAACCATTCAAGTAGAAAGTGAAAATTTACTGAAGCAAAAAAACTAGACTGTTCTGTCAATAAAAAGACGATAACATTTAGTTTCCTTGAAAATGCATAAATGGAAATGTAGAGATGATACAAAAGTTGATATAAAGGAAATGAAGGCAGACCTGGACACTGTTTGCGCTCTTTGTTAACCAGATCGATGAATCTACAAGAAAGTAAATCCTGAAAGTATGAGGACTTGCTGTGCAACACATTTTGGATCTGGGATTTTATGACCTTCCACATATATCTTATGATATCTTATATTGTTATCATTTAGGAACTAAGAAGATTAATGATAAGGTATGTTACCTTTGTAGAGTAGTATCTTGTGTACGTCAAGTCTATGACGCATGACAGGAACTGATTGCATGACTGAACGCGAGCGATGAGGTCATTTAATGAAAACCTGTAAAGTGTAAGCTGGATCACATATCATCTTACTCACCTCATATGGGGAGGAATGTTGTACGACTTTTCTAACGGTATAGGTAGTTTTATCGGAAGTAAACGCGTCCCCTTCACTGGGACACCCAGTGAACTGTAGTCAAACCACCTGTAAAAGGAATAATCAGGCTATGAAATTTTCCATCGTTTATATGAAGAATGAAACCATCTGAACTTTTCGTCCAATTAATCCTCGAAAACTGATAAGTAGTAAAACAGTTGGGTTTAGTTATAACCTACACTACAGAGATATCAAATCGTGGTTACGTGATGCAAAGGTTTGCTTGGGTCCCAGCCAGTCATCTCAGTCTAAAAAACAAGTTGTAGACGAAGATATCCCAAATTCAGATAATTTTGTATCATGGTAATCAGTTTGTTGTCTTAATGTCCCTGTATATTAACTTAAGGAATCAATACTAGTAACCGATTACTGTATCTACACGGTTAGTATCACATATGGCTGTATGGTGCTCAAATCGACCCAAGATCAGTCCTTTGACTCAATGACTGTCAACGTCAATCAAACGTTAAGAGATGGTCAACTGCAGAGGAATAAATTTTGTAAGTAACCATAAATTTGAGAAAACAAGTTAACTTCATCAAGTTCTTTATCAATATGCATACATGATTACGATATGTTTTAATCGTCAAACGTAATGCAACTTGTTCATTTGAATTCGAAAAACAAACGAGTTTATTAAGGAGCGTAACTTCCAAACAATAATAACGGCGATGAAAACAATAAAACTTAAGGAATGTGCGTAGTTTTGCACAGTAGACAATGAATCATGCCTATTGTTTGATGATTGAAATATTATCCCACTATTCAAAGGTGAGCTGTAGCTTATTGATCTAGGCAGTCAAATTTCAACCAATAAGTCACGTCACTCTGCCTACCGAGGTTTCTACAACCAGGTAGCATTTTAAATCTTCACACAACACACATGACTCATTTTTCACTGCATAAACGAGCAAATAGTTGGTGAGTGCATTTCCATTCCTTCCTCGATTAGATTCCTAAAGTTAACAGGTAGATCGAAGACAAGTTTTTCTCCTCCTTACTGCTGCTACATTATCACTGAATGTAGTCTGCTTATTGTGATTTCTCTGCTTCAGACTTCCGTTTCCGGACCATATAACTATGACCTATGCACTGTACATCATCAGACCGAAATTTTTATGATTATATTACTAGTTTCCCATCAGTATTGACTTATATCCGCCTTTCATTTAAAGTAAAACTGAATCAACAAAATTTAGTCGTTGATATAAGAGTATGTTTTATTTCGATGCAGAATTCGTTACTTGTTAACTTCATTCGGAGACCAGATGTCTAGTGCATTCAGTTTTAATTGTATTCCTTTTAGTCGTCTGCTCTTTCGATTCTAGTGTCGACGACTCGATAAGACTTACTCGTGTAACATAAATATACCTTTCATAAGGCATACCCATTAATATATCATCATCAACAACACTAACATAAGACCAAGCATTACGGTCTAAGTTACCATACCTCATTTCAGCATACCAAGCCAAAATACGCTAAGATGAAATGTAAAGAAATGAAGAATCCATCAAAACCAAAAAAGAGTAGTGAAAGAGGGAGAACGAATAAGAAAATACTGAATTCAATATGACGAGTAAGATGATGATAATGAGTAGATACATCTGCACCACTTAGCCATATCCCCTAGAATCTCTAACCTCTGGTTTCTGCTGTCGCACAGACTCAAACTTGGAAGTCTACATTCCCCTCTACACTGCCCACATCAAAAGTCAAAGACTTCACGAACTGATACCGTTTTCAGTCTGGCCACTCCAGCTTAGACCTAGTTCAGCTATCATTGTGCGACAAAGCAAACGGCGACTGGGTATGTGTAACACACAGTTCAATCACCTCAGCCGATAAAGGTCCATAACTTTATCAACTGACTTACCTCTTCGCCCTAAAACCCTACACTTGACTTTTGCATCAGTCACGTAGTGACACAATGACACACAGTCTGTGCTACGAAAGCAACGGTGGTTGAACACCTGAAGCCTTTGCATATCCTATACTTTCAATAGTGATGTTTCACAGACATATACTCCCGACCGATAGCTGCTACCTTGACGTGGTGGTCGGGCTTGCATATCACAATGACCCAACGAGCTATGCTGGTGGAACGCTTGTTCCCTCGAGGTCCTACCATACCAGAAAGGTCTGTTGGGTAGTGGTTAGACGAAAAGCAGTTACCGTCATAGTGTAAATTGCTACACTATGATGGGGGTCTGAGGGCGAAGTCGTACTGCTGCTAGCTGGATGGGGTGTGACAGCAGTAAGGTGTTTCCCTTGGATGACCAGCAGTGCCAAGCTGATGCTGCCTTCTCAGTGGAAGGGGGGGTTAGAAAAGGTCGGCCCCAAAAATAACACACTCCACCACGCCCCACGGTCTGCCGGGCCGGCGGTGTTGGTTCACTTGTCGTTTCCTTTCGCTCATCCGGCCCCAAAAATACAAAAATTCAAAATAATCATACTCAAAAGGCTGGGTGTGACAGGCCTCAAGCAGATGTCCGATGGGCTCTGCGGTCACACAAATCTCTTTCAGGTACCTTAAGAAGAAATAGCCTTCCACGGTGTGGGCAGCCGGGAAGTGTCAACCGCCCTCACAACTCTGTCAGCACCCAAGTTTCTTCTGACTGCTATCCTCCTCCTCCATCATTACCTTCTAATCTTCCTTCACGTCTCTTAATTAATGATGCTGCATCATCTTCAATTTCTCCTACCTCTGCAGCCTTCGACAACGATCTGAGTCCACAGAACAGCATCCCTGGTCTCCTTAAACCACGCTCCAAATTACATATTGGAGCCTTCAATGTCCGCACCCTCCGTCAAATTGGCCAACAGGCTTCGTTGGCAAAGACTCTAGCAACTCGGGCATGGATGTGTGCTGTGTTTGTGAGACACGCATACAGGACCCAAGTGTGGTTATTCACCTGACCTCTCCTGACCAATCTGGTGAATCTGCAAAATTCACCCTTCGAGTTTCTGGAGATTCGATAGCTAGCTCTCGTGGTCTTGCAGGTGTAGGTATAGCATTAAGCACCAGGGCAGAAAACTCACTACTAGACTGGATCCCAGTTGATAGTCGCCTCTGCGCTATGAGGCTGAACGGCACAGTGAGAACTAAAAGGAATAGTGAGACTCGCCGTTGTCTCTTTGTAATCTCTGCTTACGCACCCACTGACTGTAGTTCGGATGAAGTGAAGGACGAGTTCTACCATAAACTGTCTAACCTCCTCTCGAAAGCCAAACGTTCGGACGTAGTGGTTGTTGCAGGTGACCTCAACGCACAGGTGGGTAGACTGAGTGAGGCAGAAAGGCACTTAGGTGGCACTTTCGGAATCCCAGCTGAACGTACAGATAACGGTGATCGCCTATTACAACTATGCTCAGATAACCGCCTATTTTTAGCCAGCACAAATTTCAGACATAAAGAAAGGCACTGTCTGACCTGGCGTCCACCGAGCTCGACTCAGCGATGGACACAGATAGACCACATTGCTATTAGTCATCGCTGGAGAGGATCGGTGGAAGACTGCCGCTCCTTCTGGAGTACGTGTTTGGACAGCGATCATGCGTTGGTCCGAGCACGTATATGCCTGCGTCTCAATGGACGTAGAAAAAATTTGGCAACAAAACCACTACGAGTTCTGCTGGACAACGAAAACACCAAAGCCGTGTTCAGTGAGAAGTTGGCTAGGCAGTTATCGGAACAAAAGACTGTCACTCATCCAGAAGAAGCTTGGTGCCATCTTCAGTCTACTGTAAAAGCAGCACTGGAGACTGTAGCCGACTCCAAGATAATGGCTAAAAAGAGCCAGTGGATATCAGCAGCTTCTTCCAAACTAATGGATGCACGTGAATGCATCCCTGCAGGCTCTGAGTACAATGAAGAGCGAGCGCAACTTAAAAATAAACTGACGAAAAGTCTGCGCAACGATCGTGAACAGTGGTGGGCAGCAAAGGCTAAAGAGATGGAAAAGGCAGCGGCGATCGGTAACAGTAGACAGTTATTTAGACTTATTAAGGAGACTGGGGGGAAATGGTCAACAACAGTTAGTGAGGTTATAGCGGAGAAGGACGGATCGGCGATTCACTCGCAGGGAAGGCGACTGGGACGATGGGCAGAACACTTTGAGGAACAGTTTAACTGGCCTCCAGCCACCATTGCGCTGCCCGCTATCCAGTCGGACCCTGAATGGGACATAGAGACAGGTCCCCCAACACTAGAAGAAGTTGAGAAAGCGGTAGGTAGCCTGAAACGGGGAAGGGCAGCAGGACCAGACGGACTACCTGCTGAGGTATACAAGAATGGTGGTAGAGTTCTCTTAGTCAGGCTAACGGAAGTGTTAGCCAGTATATGGGAATCAAATACGATCCCCTCCGACTGGTCTAAGTCACTGATCATCCCAGTCTTCAAGAAAGGCGAGAAGTCCTCTTGTGATAACCACAGAGGAATCAGCCTGACAAACATAGTGTCTAAGATCCTAAGTTCTATAATTCTCCGACGCCTGAGTGGAGCTCGGGAACAGCAAGCCCGAGAAAACCAGGCAGGCTTTAGACCTGGCCGTGGATGTATCGACCAAATATTCACACTGCGCCAGGTCCTGGAACATAGGCATGCTTACAGACGCCCGACAATAGCTGTATTTCTCGACCTGAAGGCGGCATTTGACTCCGTTGATCGAGAAGTCTTATGGCAGTGTCTGTCACTGAAAGGCGTGCCTAGTAAGTACATCACCTTATTGAAAGCTCTCTACTCGAACACTTGTGGGCATGTTAGAGCCTATGGTGAGTTGTCCAGGGAGCTATACTCATCAAGTGGTGTCCGTCAAGGATGCCCACTATCCCCATTCTTATTTAATTTTATCATAGATATTCTTATGGAGGTTTCCCTCTCGTCACCTAATTACAAAGACGTTGACCGGATCACAGGTGAATTTTCCTTAGATCTAGAATATGCAGATGACATAGTCCTGTTAGGTGAAGACGCTGACAAGATGCAGAGTCTTCTGAACACTTTGAGTGGGAATTTGAGAATGTTTGGGATGCGATTTTCACCACCC